TTTTAAACATGATAATACAATCACTTGACCTCTAATAGGTATATTATGTACCTAATGCATCCCTAATTGTGTATTAAGAGATAATAAAATAAATATTTGATTGGTGGATTACTAGGTTCCTTTTCAAAAATAAATAGCAAGTAACAACTATTCTGTTTAGTCTCTGATACAATGATGCGTGTGTTATACTATGCATTTAATTCCAGGTACCTGCGTTTCAATTAAACAAAGGTAGGTTGTTTAATTATTGTTAAAAATGTATAAAAGACCATAAATAATATTAAATTGTTTCGATAAAAACATTGGCTCGATGTAGATAAACGGTATAGTCACTTCCTATCTTTAATTAGTAAACTTTTAAGTATTTTTTTAAGCCTATTTTGTTATTGGAGAATATTATCTACAAGATGCGTTTTTTTTTACATGGCTTCCCTTATAGGCTAAGTTTATTTACATCGTTAAAAAGTGATTTAATATAATATTTTAATTATTAACTAATAACTCAACTCTCGGTTTACTCATCATACGATAGTATGTCTTGCAGTAGCACGTCTCGTATTTTCTCTTCAATGAAGAGTACTCGCCCACGATTATTTTTGTCCCGATTATTACTTGGTCTATCAGTATTTTTTCATAGAAGATTTGGATCTTCGTATATCAGATATTTTGTCATCCTTACACATTAAATCCTAAACAGTGGGGGTGGGCTATGAATGACAATATTTTGTAACCTGTCACTACATTATTACCACCCGCGCCTGAAAAATTGCTGATTATGATTTTTTGTAACTGTACAAAAGGCTATATTACTAACCGTGGATCAGAAAAATAGGGGTTAGTTGTTAAATTATTTGTGGACATTGCCGTGGTCAATCATGCTTAAATTCAAGTTCTACGAATGGTTTGGATGAAAATATAGACGATATAGACCAGTGTTTCTTAACCTGTGTTCCGCGGAACCCTAGGGTTCCGCGAAGATTACTTGAGGGTTCCACGAAAGTGCTGTGCTGTGTTTTTATCAAAATATTAAAAATAGTAAAAAGCTAGAATTCTAGAGGTAGCTAGTGGGAAAACCTGTTAGACGTGTACAATATATTGTATAAGATATTATTATATAGTTATATAGTTATATATTGTTATAAGAGTCAATACAATTACAGTTCATTATTTTTAATGCGTTTTAATGATGACGATAAGGGCAACGACGATGGCATGACAGTATCAAATAATTATTTATAACCGCATGTTTTACGATATTATTATACTTCGTATAATATTACCAATATTGTACTTCAGTACGTATTCGTCCATTCGTAGTCGTCCGTTAACCGTTGTTCGTCAGTTGTTTGTGGCAATTTATTAAAATATGAGTTAACAAAAGAAGTTGGATTTCTTTTTAAAAAATCCAAATACTAGTGTAATTACTACTGCTGAGGAACCAACACCATCAACGAGTGATGTCACATCTTCGTTGGAACCAAAACGGAAGAAACCGAAAATTCGGAAGTACGATCTCTCATACCTAGCGTTCGGATTTACATATAAAGATTGCCCTCAATGCGTTATTTGCTCGGAAATGTTCACTAATAGTTCTATGACTCCAGCAAAACTTTTAAGACATTTGGAAACAAAACACCAGGAGTATAAGAGTTTAATATAATCTAAATTTATTATATAATGTTACTTCTCAATATAATCTAAATTCTAAATAAATAATTTAATTGTATTCTGCTGTATTTGGTATTTTAATCACTAAAGTTTAGTGCATTGCTAATGTTGCCGCTTATCGCCATGTTTTGTGTACCCTTCTTTTTTAAAGATATTTTCAGAGGGGTTCCGCATGAAAAAAATATTATTGCCTGGTGTTCCGTGATATCGAAAAGGTTAAGAAACACTGATATAGACGACCCTTATGAATATGTAGGCATAAACCCACTAGACTATTTGGCTGAAAAAAAACTATGATGGCAAACACCAAAATAACGAAAGAGAGGAAATACAAGACGTGCTAATGCAAGATGAGTATCATATGATGAGTAAACCGAGAGTTGAGTTATTAGTTAATAATTAAAATATTATATTTAATCACTTTTGAACGATGTAAATGGACTTAGGCCAATAAGGGAAACCATGTAAAAAAAACGAGCCCAGCTTCTACCTCAATGGTGGTGTGGAAACGAATGCATTTTTATTATCGTTATATACTCGTAATTTTCTTAATGTGCAAATATTTTACTAACGAAAGTTAAATCACATATTATATACATTAAAAAAAACCATTTTGTAGATAATATTTTCCTCTATAATTTTCATTTGAAACTTTTTTTTGTACAATCAGCTCAAAGCGAGATAATAACGCAAAGGCAGTTTGTTTTTAGTGAAAAAAACAAATTTCTATAAAAGTATGTACTTTGTAGGCTTTATAGATCAAAGACTATAACACTTACTTGAAAATCGAATTGTTCCTTTTTTGTAGAGAACTACCTCCTCTATAATTTCTGTTTGAAACTTTTTATCGTACGACCAGCAACAAGCGAGATATTAAAAAATAGACTATTTTCATGACCTTTGACCTGGAATAACCTTTGGCGAGCACGTGATTTCGTGGTCGACTTTTTACACATTGTTTATGACGACGTTACAAAGGCGGATGCCACATTTCAGCTTGATGGGATTTTTTCCAAACAGAAGCCTTATTTTTGTCTAATTCGACTGGGCTTTGTACTTGTGTTTAGTTTTTGTTAATTATACCTATCATTTATTTAATCTACAGATTACCATAGTATGTTAAATGAAAAATGAAATACCTATATGTAATTTTCATTTTCATAGTAATATTATTTACTTGTATTATTAATAAACTGTACATTTTTTGTTAACATAGTATAACAAATTAGCGTAAATACCTATTATAATTTACATTTTAATAGTTTACTTTAGTTTTTAGAAAAACATAAAATTATTATTATTTTTATGAATTATAACGATATTTTTTACCATACAATGTTTGTTTACTATAATAGATTTTTTTTGTAACACATATTTGTATAATAATAATATATTTCATATATTTGCAAACAAACAACAAATAACAATATAGTTTTCATAAATATAACATAGAAAAACTTTTACTGGAATTTCAGAACTTGTTATTGTTGCGAAATGATTCGGTATTTCGAATAAATATATGGTTAATACAACATTTTGTATTATTGGTGACCCAAGTATACTCTCTTTAATACAAGAAACAAAATTATAACTTGTCATAATATTTAGATAATCGTAGGATAAATTTTAATAATTTATATAAATGTTAATATCACCAGATATTATATAATCATGATATAACTAACAAGTTATGTCATCAGCGAATCCCGGAAAAAAATCTCCAGACTACAATATTACTCACAACCACGTAATAACCAGTAAGGTTGTTTGTAAAGTATCATTTGTCTGTAGTCGGCTGTATTGTCAAATCATTTAAAAATAACTGTCCTGGTGTTGAGTGGATTAAATCATTTATGAACAGATATAAACATATTATTTCTCAGCGCATGTGTCAAAATATCAAAAGAAGCAGAGCAGCTGTTACTCCTGATGACATTAATAAATATTTTGATAATTTAACAATATCCCTTGAAAATGTGCCACCCAGCAATATCATAAATTATGATGAGACTAATTTAAGTGACGATCCTGGAAGAAAGAAAATAATATACAAGAGAGGAACCAAATACCCTGAAAGGGTCATGAATCAGACCAAATCATCAACATCAGTTATGTTTGCAGCTGAAAGTAGCTGATGGAACATTACTTCCACCATATGTAATATATAAAGCTGCTCACCTATATGATACATGGACAGTAGGAGGACCTCCTGGAACAAGATATAATAGGACGACTTCAGGGTGGATTGATGGAAACTGTTTTATTGAATGGTTTTCCGCTATAGTTATTCCATATTGTAGAAGATTAAATGGGAAAACAGTTGTAATAGGGGATAATTTGAGTTCTCATTTGTCTCCTGAAGTAATTGTAGTCTGGGAATTTTTTTTCCTAAGGTTGGAGATTTTTTTTTCCGATTGCCGATTGCCGATTATCCGCGCAGTTTTGCTGGTGGTCATTGGAAAAATCGATAAAATATGAAGGTACTATCAATAATTCTCGGAAGGAATTTTTGTTTCACTAACTAATTTAGATTTATTGATAAAAGTACCTACTTGAAATATCTACCTACTGTTTAATAATTAAAGTGGTTCCAAACTTTTCCCATCGCGGCACATTATTATTAGTTATTATAAGTCACGGCACACTTTAGGTAAATATTACCTACTTATCGAATAATACGTATATAATGATGTCGGGTATTTTTATCGTTATTAGGTAATAATATTATTATCTCTCAATAGCTGTACTTGTATATGTATATATATATCACAGAACTGTTCTGTGTATCATACATTTTTGTCTCTTCAATATTAAATGATAATTCGTTCGATCGTATGAAACAATATCAAACCACACCACGACAAGCCCGAATTTTATTGCATTTTTGAGACGTTCGTTTTATAAAAAATATGGATAAGTTTTTAAATATAAAAAGAAAGCTTGACGATTACGATGAAAATAATGGCGATAATAAAAGAAAGAAAAATACAGTTACTGAAAATATCAAATCTGGTACACAATCTTCTGGTGCAAGCCGTAAGTACCATGATAATTATTTAAATTTTGGTTTCACTTTCTGTGGATCAGAAATTATTCCTATTCCTTAGTGTTTGGTATATGGAGAAAAACTTAGTTACGAATGTGTGGTACCTAGTAAATTAAAAAGGCATTTTACTACTAAACACGGTCATTTGTTAAATAAATACAAAACTTATTTTAGCCGCTTATTATCATCAAATGTAAAACAATCAAAACAATTGGAAAAACTAACAAATATATCCGATAAACCTCAGATTCCTAGTTATGAGTTGCTGAATTAATAGTTAAAAAAAATGAAGCCTCACACTATAGCTGAAAATTTAATATTACCAGCTTGCAAAGAAATTGTAAAATCAATGCTAGGTGAGAGTGCTGAGAAGGAAGTTTCTCGTGTTCCATTATCAAATAACACAATATCTCGACGAATTGACGATATGTCTTCAGACATTCAAAAACACGTTTCTGAATTTTATGTGATGGCCGAAAATTTCAGTACAAAGTTCAACCTATTGTTTTATACATCGTGAAGCTTTGATGATTAAATCGATTCCAGATGAGCTTAAAAATGTTCTTAATTTGGTAATTAAAATTGTAAATTATATTAAATCAAGAGCTCTTGAAACACGAATACTCAAAAAAATGTGTGAAGAAGCTGGTTCTCGTTATGAAGTTTTAGTTTACATACTGAAATTGGATAGTTATCAAAGGTAAGGTTTTAAACAGATTTTATGAAATGAAAAATGAATTGTTGCAATTGTTCAATAATGAAGACCCAAACAGCGATTTCGTAACTCAATTAAATAATCCATTATGGTCTGCAAAACTTCTTTCTAGCTGATATTTTTAAACATTTAAATATCCTTAATTCCAATATGCAAGCTAAGATGAAAACATATTAACATCGTCGATAAATTAAATGGGTTTTTATGGAAACATTAAATCTTTGGATATCACAGCTAGAAAAAAACAACTGCAAATGTTGATCCAGAAGTAACATCTGATTTGATAAAAAAATCATCTCATAAGTTTAAAAGAAAAATGTAAAAATACTTCCATCTTTGCCTATTAACGAAGATGATTGGGTGCGAAATCCTTTTTCTGTAAACATCAGATGTATAATCACATCTAGGATCTAGTTGAACAAGAACTAACTTTAGAACTTCAATCTGATAGTTCATTGAAATTAAAATTTAATGATTTTAAACTGTTTCAGTTTTGGAGTTTTATTAAAACTGAGTATCCAATAATTACAGAAATTGCAATAAATATATCATTACCATTTTCTACAACATACCTCTGTGAACTTGGGTTTCCGCACTAACAATATTAAATAAGAAACGTGAACGACTTTTACCAGTTGAACAAGAAATGCTGGTGTGTTTATCGTCGATCCCTCCTAGAATTGAACAAATTATTATGCAAACAACATCAAACACACGTTTCACACTAAAATTTATAATTATATCTTTTTTTTTTTGTAATTTTAAAGTTAATTTTGTATTATTATTTTTATTTGTATTATATAAAAAAAAATAAAAAAATCATTTTATCTTTTTTTATAAAAAAAGTTCACTTTGTCGCGGCATACCTTTAAAATTTCACGGCACACCCTTTGGGAAACACTATAATTACTAAATAAGTAGATAAATTTGTATTTGTAAAAACAAATGAAAAGTATCTTTTTACAAGATTGATACAGACCTACAGTGTGATTTTACATACATTAGTTTAAGAATATAGGAATACAGTAAAAAAAAAAAAAATTAAATATTTATCTTAAACATTGGCTATGGATTCAAGGTGGGGGGAGGGCTAAGGAGATTTATTATTCCGTTTCTGCTGTAATTATTTTACTTATTAATAAAGAGAGTAGGTATATAGTAACGAAAATAGTTGGTAATTTTTATTTATATGAATGTAAAGCTAATAGCTTTAATAGTTAGGTTATAGCTGTAATAGTATACTTTTTATTAATTGTAGATTAATATTAATTAGATTACGTATTCTAGTATTTTCACGTCAAATTCCAAATTTGAACACGCATAATAATTGGTCACAATTATATTAATGAAACTTTTAACATGGATAGAAAAATATGTGATTTATCTCTTGGTTCAGAAACATTTTGACTTGATTTACAATTTAAAATTGATTAAGGTTTTAATTAAAAAATTCGGTATTTTACATCAAATTAAGTTTATTCTAAATTATTCTAATTTAGTGCTTTTAACAAAAATCGACCAACGATTTTTTAGATTTTTTCACTGCCGTTATGTATTTTACTCAGGTATGGTTAGGCTAGGGTATTCTATTTTCAGTGATTAATATCAAGTATTTAAAATTATATGCATAATAAAAGAAGTTTCTACCAAGCTTCATTCAGAATCGTTTTTTCTAAAAAATAATGTTTTATTATTTGATTCAAATATAAAGAGACTACACCGTTTCATTTACATCGTGATTTTAATTTATTGATCATGGCTTTAGAATAAAAATTAAGCTAATTCGTCAAGCTGCGGGATAAGGTAAAGTGTAAACTTGATATAAAATAATATTCTATAGTCAACAAAAATAAAAAAGTTAGTTGACCGCCTATCTGTAAGGCGTAATAACGAGAGAAAATAACATGTCCGGATTCCCTTCATCTCCCATAGTATCGCAGTTAAAGAAATAGCTCCTAGGATCGGTTGTTATGCATGAGAGAAACGGTTATGTTCTCTCGTGGGCTAGAGTATAGTGTGACCCATACATGTTAAATCACGGGCAGGAGTGCTGTAGGTAGGTAAGATCTAAGAACGTATATTATATTGTACGATTTATCTGTAATTTTATACTTGTTATTGTTTATGTCCATTGTTGTGATGACTTTTTGTGGTTCATTCAAGTACACAAACTTCTGAGAATTACTCGAGTAATCGTGTACGACAATAACACCGGATGCATGATAAACGAGTTTTTCGTCGTTTAGGAATAAACAATTGTTGGACAGACCGGTGGTTAACCCAAAGAAATACTTCGGTTCTAGAGAATGTATTTCTGACGATTCCTCTTTCATGATGAATGTTAATTATATTTATATTTATTCCTACGTCCACTGTAAAATGAAACACAATATTGTTTACTAACAACGTAATAATGGCAAATGTTACATTTTATTGGTTGCCAGACATAAAACTGTTGCGTTTAGAGTTTTAAAACCAAACACTAAAAAAACTATAAAGCAAGTGTAGGAACCGACGGGAGTTTACTATATTCATATTGATTTATTACCTACTTTGACTACATTAACATTAGTTACGACGACTACATCGTATGCCAATTCCTGGAAACATAGGGTTACCTACAGTTTAAATTTACATAGACGCCAAAACAACACATTCGCGGCGGTGCAACACGATTGCGGACTTTTTACCTTTTTACCTGAAAAAAAACATAACACGATGCGGACTTTTTACCTTTTAATATTTGAGAAAAAACAACACGATTGCGCACCTTAAATTTTTTTCTTTGAGCAAAAAAAAATTTAAATAATTTTAAAATTTTAAATAAATTGTTATACCTAGTTTAAGAAACACACCTATAGACTATAGTATAGTATACAAACTATATATAACTGTATACCGTCAACACGGGTGAAATGGAACTTGAGTGGTGACTTGGAACAATATGACTTTTCTTTATTGAATTTGATAGAACTTCTTGAGTTTTGATTATATATCGTTTATCATTCCATGATATTTTATGTTGTTACATTTCCAATCAGAAACATCTTATCATATTTTTTGATATTTCTTATCATTAAACAGAAATTAATGTACCAAATTGTTATCAAAAAAACGCTTTTTTTGTAGACCAAATTAAGTCACCAAACTCATACTGTTCGAGGCACAAAATTCAGGTATGCATATTTTTTAATTGATGTACAACAGTTTTATTACAAGCTAATCTAAACATTTTTTTAATAGATTCATTATCTGATTTTTTAAGAATGATTTTATTTTTCAGTGTCTAAACAGGGTGACTTGAAACATGCCGACCGATACAAGAGACAGCAGGTAGTCGATCGTATCGAAACTTTTCTCAGATGAAACTTTACAAAATGTTTTGGTTTATATGTTGTTAAAGCAAATATTACACAGTTTTTATTTTATGTTAAACTACCTAACTAAATTAAAGAAAATAAAATCATAATGTTTCAATAAAGAGAATGTGTTTAATTCATTTTTTATATAATATTTAGGTTACCTATTGACTTCTTTAGGTTATAATATGTACAAAGATGTTTTTAAAAGCCTTATTTGTGTTCCAAGTCAAACCTATAGTAGGTTAAATGCTCAAAAACATTAAAAACACCTTACTGTTTCATGTCACCCCCCGAAACTCAAGGTGACTTGGAACACTCACTTTTATTATTTTTTAACCAAGTTATGGTTAAATTTCATTTTTTTTTATGCAAATGTAGTCATTTATACTGCGCGCCTATACTAGATTTTTTTCAGATTTAAAAAATTGATATTGAAGGTGTAGGAGCCTGGAAAAGTTAAAAATCGTGTTCATTTCACCCGTGTTGACGGTATTATATATATTATATGGCGTCTTATAATATTTTATTACTTTTTTTTTTCCGTTTGAAACCGACTTTCGCAATGCTTCCGCGGATAATATTTTATTACTATAGTAACCGATAATAACTGATAAGTGTTAGTGGCTGTCAGTGGCGCAACCAGGATTTATCAAGGGGGGGGATCCAAAAAAATGTATTTAACTACTGTTTTGATGTCCTTTTCCTGAGTATATACATACATTTCATTTCTTAATAAACACAATATGCCGGGTGTGAGACCAATAAAAAAAAATACACAATTATATTATTTACATTTTTAAATTTATATTTACAATGTATGTCAATTACTTATTATTAAGCCAATTAAATTATGGTATAGTCATAAGTCTTATTATTTAAAGTGTAAAATCCAAGCGCCGTTTTTCTTCAGTTAATATATTGATAACTTCTTCCACTGTAACTGGGACTTCTCGATGAATATTAAGATTAGCCAACCCATTCAATCAATTTTCAGAAGTAGTGTTCCTTAAATAGTTTTTATTCTCTTGAGTGACGAGAATGTTTTTTCCGCTTCACATGATGTACCAGGGAGAACAACAAGGATGTGCATTAGTGTATAAACATTTTTATAAAATTCAGGATTACATTTTGATATTGCGTCCAATGCACTTATGGGTTTAATATTATTTTCTTTTAAAAACCTATTCCATAAATTAATTTCAATAACTACTTTATCAAAGCATTCAACGTCATTTTGATAAAAATTTACAAGTTGATGAAGATCTGTTTTAATATTACAATCAATCAACGCTTGAAAACCAGATATTATTTCCCTATATTTAGTAAATGGATCTTTTAACTGTTGAATAATAGAGTCAATGAATGTAATAAAAATGCTTACTCTATAATATTCTTCAGGTGTGTTCATCATTATATTGCATCGGTGTTTTTGTCTCTTTGCAAGCCTTGAAATTTTAATTTCTATATCCATTTCTTTCGATTGTTTTACAATTATTTTGAATAAATCACTGAAAACAGTTTCAGCATTTTCCCGAATAGATATCAACTCTTTTATAATAAGATCAATATGGTTAATGGCTTCGCATAAATCAATATTTTGCTTCTGCAAGTAAATACTAAGAGGCTTGGTATATTTGAACATTTTATTAATTATAGCCACACTAACGTGAAATTCAGTAGCCTGTAAAACTAAAAGTAATTGATTAGCTTTTGTTGCCGTTTCCTTATCGGACCATGTTATCATTTCTTCTAAGCTACTCAAAATAGCAGGTAAAAAATCATAAAATATTTCCACAGAATTATGAAAGATGAGTATCATCTCCCGAAACTCGAGTTGCATTTATATAAAATCGAAGTAATGCACGAAAATTCCCATCGTTTTCATTTGGTTAATTTTAATGGACCACAATCCTGATGGCCTCTTAAAGCAAGTCCCTACAGTATAACTGATTCAATTACAGGACTAATAATTTTCCTATTATCTTCTTTTTGTTTTTTTGCTGCCTTATTAATTTGGTCATACACAGAAGACTCTTCCCCTGAAATTCCGCAAATAAATGTTGAAAATTTAAAACACAATTAGTGTTTAACTAAGCTTTTCAGTAACGTGTTTCCAATTTTTTAATGGTTTAGTGCAAAGCTACCCAAGCAATTGGCCTAATTTCCCACCTTGTTTGACGCAGAAAAATACCCAATATTTGCAATAAATGCCATCATCTAAACTACTATAAGCAATCCAGCTCCATTTATCAAACCACGAGAGTTTAAATTTTAAATTTTTACTACCATAAAGCGTAATAGGAAAATCATAATTTTTACCTGGTGTCCAAATTGTATTTAATGCATCCGTTTTTTAGGTTTTCGTCAATTATTTTTCAATATATTGTTTTATATCAAATATACTGTGATTTTTAGGCACCGGATTACTGAAAGTCTCAAAATAATATTTTGTTCATCTTTATCGGGTACAGTTGTAACTAGTTTTGAATTTGAAACTAAAATATCACTGTCATTAATTGTTACATTAGAATTAACTTTACAAATCACTTTCGATACAAAAAAGTCGTTTATACTACGTTTCATGGCTCAGTTTAATATTATTAACTTATTTGCACGAATATGGTAAATTATAAACATAAGTATCTACACAACGTCACAACATTTATGGAAACAATTTATAAAATACTTATTTGCCTCTTTAGCTTGAAGTTATAAAGTCAATGTTGAACAAAGAAGTTCAACTATTGGGGAAATGTTCTTGTAAAGCTGGCACAGGAAAGTGTAAACATATTGTTGGTTTTATAATTAAACTTCAAAAGTAAGAATTTAAAAAAAAAAATCAACTAAAAATTATATTAATGAAATATAAGTGATATAAGATAGGCACTATATTATAGTACATTAACTAATATTATTTGTATTCTATTCAGAATATTTATTATGTTCTATTCTATTATGGGCACCTAAAATTAAAATATATAATTGTTCTTATTTATTAGAACTTCTGAAGATGATCTGGCTATGCTAAGCTGTACTGATCCGCCACAAAAATGGGGAAAACTTAGTTTTGCCGCCAGCAAAGATATTCATAAGCCCGTTCCTATAAAAGAATTTTGTCATGTGAAAAATGTATTAGCATCAAGTGTGTATGAACAGTCATTGCCAAATGAATTATCAGAAGAAATGAATACTGAAATTCAAAGTTTCTTTTTTCAAGGTACATCATTAGGGCTAGGCAGTGGCGGCGGGATATAGGATTATTTGAGTGGGTGTATTAATTTATATATAATCGTAAGACCTCAACACAAATATCATAATTAATAATGGCACCTGCTGCTAATTTTGCTTCAATGACGCGTACGGTGGTAAAAATATTTAAAATATACAATATGCTTCAAAGCCTCCACAATTTAGTGCCAACACTCGGGCTAGGGACTTCTAGAAGTTTGCATGTTTTTAATAATAATTAAAAACAAAGTTATTGTTTCATAAGTAATACTGGTTAAAATATTGAATTGCATATTAAGCATATTGGACCATTTTTAATTTATAATAGCATATTTGTAATTTTTTTATATAAATGTTTAAGTTTTTTTTTTAATTTATATTTTAATATCATATTTAGTGATTGTTTAGGGCATTAAGTCTCTAGCCCTATACATAATTTACTAAGTGTTGTAAAGTTTTTGAGTAAAATTAAAGAAAAGAATTTAATCATAAGATATTTTAGATTCTGAGCGGAGCGATGAATGTATTGGTTTTACAATGATGTGTGTTTTTATATTTTTATATTTTTATATTTTTTTTTGTGTCTGTCATCACGTTTTGGGACAGTAAAAGTGCTTAGATTTTCTTCAATAGTACCTTTTCTGATAGGAAAGTGAATCTAGTTGGTACTTTGGGGGGTCAAAAGTAAACATTTCCCAGTAGTTTTCACAAGCGCCGGGAAAAACAACATAAAAATTAAGGAAAAACGGGAATTTTTACGCAAAATTGGTTTTCCAAAAAATCGATTTTGGTTTTTGGTGTAACTCTAAAACAAATGAACGTATATACATGGAATTTTCACTGGTTGTTTATATTTGCATTTTCTATACACGATAACATTTTCAAAATATTTTGATTTATTTTGAACTGTTTAGGGACATTTTCATTTTCCATTTTTTTTTAGTTTTTTTTCTAAAAATAGCAATAAAATTTTATTTGTTGGTTGCGAAAGCTTGAAAATTTAATAGAAGGCTCCTAATATATTGTTTCAAAGGCAGATGAAAAATATTAAAAATCCTTAGTCACAATTTTTTTTTATAAGCATTTAAAGTTCAAAAATTGTAAAAATATGGAAAAATCACGAAAATTAGCGAATTATTTTGATTTAAGAATTCGTAAAAATTTTTCTTTTTAAATCTAAGATTTGAAAATGTAATACAAGATTACTCATAAGTTTGTCTACCTTTATCAATAAAAAAATCTCTACCGGACAGTCAAATTAAATTTTTATGAGCGTTTGAAATTTAAATTTTTACAACATTGGATGTTCACTCGATTTCTCATGTAGCGATTTCCTTATTTTGTTGTAATTCAAAAACGAATAACTGTAGATACATGAAAATTTCACTGAACGTTTATATTAGCATTTCCTATACACCATACAATTTTGAAAATATTTTGACTCTTTTTGAGCTGTTTATGGACATTTACAGCTTTAAATTTTTTTTATTTTTTTTTCTATAAATATCAATAAAGTTTTATCTGTTGGGCCAAAAAGTGTAAAAATTTAATACAAGGCTCCTGATATATTGTTACAATATCAGTTGAAAAATATTAAAAATACATAGGCACAGTTTTTTTTTATAAGCATTTAAAGATCAAATTTTGACAAAATTTATCAAAATCTCGAAAATTATCAATCATTGTAATTAATAAATTATAAAATGTTCAGTTTTTATAGCTAAGGATTGAAAATTCAACACAAAGGTTCTCATAAATAGTTCAAACTGTAACCAAAAAATCTAAAAAATATATGAACACAGTTATTTTTACAGACATTTTAAATTCAAATTTGGACGAAATTACATATTAAAAAACCTAGAATAACTATTTTAGTTATTTTGTTGTGATTGAATAATATTATTCGTGGATATTTGAAACTTCTAAAGTGTACTATTATATATCTATGATAGTATCACAGTTTTTGTTGATGTATAACGCGTTATTTAATGGATATTTTGATATGATTAATTTTGGAATTTATTATAGGTACCTACCTATTATAGGTCAAATTTTGGTTTAGTACCATAGATATGTATAATGTATATAATATGTCTTATACCTAGACTGACATACTGTCTCCGCTCAGAATCGTTTTTCTTATACAATGATATTATATCGTTGAATTCAAATTTAATATCATCCATTATACAGTGACTCACTTGTAACCTACTGTACAGCAGAGCGACACCCACTTGCCCACCTTTTGTTTAATTTGTTTTCATTCAGGATTTCCTAACTCAGCATATGCAGTCCATAGATTTGGCCGTCATGAACCAATTGATGATGAAATTGTACCAACAAATTTAGACCTTAATGAATTATTCATGTTGGAAAAATTTATAACTTCAAAAAATTCTATAATTTCTAATAGTTTAGAGTCACCATTTTGTATTAACTATTGCCAGGTAGTCAAAACATATTATTTGACTAACGTAGTTATAAATAAAGAACAAGCTATCGATATTTGTAACAAAACATTGAATCAAAGTGGTCCTATCTGGAAAAAAATGAGCAATGTAGAATAACTGTATAAAAAATGTTCACTGCATACTAGTGAAGTTTTTGAACTTTTCATGGCCATTCTTAAGACAACTTCCCATTTCGTTTTAATAATTCGATCAGTTGGGAATTTGTGAAAAGAAATTCCTTTTTTTTGAGGACTGTGAAGTATGAATATGTATGTATGATAAACGTAGAAAGAATATGCAAAACATTCCAAAATCTTTAGAGGAAGCGATAACTCAGTTGTTTGATGGTCGTGAAAATATAAATAATACTGGTGAACTATTTTGTCACATGGAAGAAACTTCAAGTCCAATTATAATCACATGCAAAACTAATCCTGAACTGTTGAGTCAATCTTCGCATATTTTTGCAGACGGTACATTTTCATATGCACCCAAATATTTTGAACAACTGTATTCAATACATATAATACAAAATGGTTTTTATGTTCCTGTAATTTATTGTTTTTTTAATTTTTTTAGATTTGTTGCATTAAAAATTAAACTAGTCCTAATGAAGTTGATGAGGATGAATGCGGTGTTATGTTGACATTATTATGTTGACGATGGTTTATTGCGGTCGAATATGCGTCATAAGAATGGTCATAGAAAGTTGAGATAGGAGGTTGTATGGACCATGAATTAACATTATTTATTGCCGGAGTAATGTGTGTATTTTGGCTAGGACTTTTTGTAACTTTTTGTATGACCTGTGTAGTGATCCCTCACTAACGCTTATATTTTGAGTTTGACGACGTTGATGATTGAGTAGGAGAAAAGGTTGCAGAGTTACAAGTTACAACGTTATAATTTAAGTAATTTATTTTAAAGTTAATAATAATATAATGGTATTACATTTGAATATAGAAATTTGAGGACAGAGCGATAAGCGTCTGCCCGAGAGATTAGTGGTTAATACTAAGTACTTACAAGTATGTACGTCGTACTAGCACTGAACTAATTCTAATTTAGATACAGACGGAGACTCGTATATATACAAAGTCTCCCTAGGTTATTAGGTACACAGTAGAGACTCGGAGGTGGATCAAAGGAATACCGGCGGTATGAAAGGTACCGGCGTAAATGTTAAAAGTTGTCGAATAAACCTTGAGTTGCGAACTGGTTTATTTGGCAATATGTATTATTAGAAATCGTTATGCGATTTTGAAATATGTAATAAACCTCAGGGCGTGGTATAGTCGTTGATCAATATATCATATAGTGCAAAGTCCTTATGATGTATAATTATAGGAATGCGACTCCGTCGGTTTACTACACTCCTCCCCTCGAAGCTGGAAGTCCCTGACTTCCGGAAAAGTTTTAATTGAAGTTAAACTGTCTTGTACTTGGATAGCTTATTGGGCTATTCCTAGGCGTAAGAGGATATTCGACCATGTCGACTGCTCTAGGTGCTGTAGCTAAGCTTTCACTTTCTTCATCTTGGTTTGGTTCCTCTTCCGTGTTTATTTTTTCGTAACATTTTAATTTATTGTATTTGGATAAACATATAATGATAATTGCCATAAAAGTGATACTTGTGATTACGTAAAGTACGTAGTCGTTTACTTGCTGTGTATTCTTTAGTTCGTTTATCTTGTGATCAACCTTGCGTTGTGTTTCAAGTTGTTTCTTTGAACCTGACACGGTATGTAGGTCATCCATGTTATTTGTTTTTACATGGAAGTCTTCCATCAAGTTATTGTTGTCGGTGTACGGCATATCTTTGATACGTTCTATAGTTGACTTCGGGTTGAAATCCATATATTCAGATTTGTAGTCGACTTTTCCTGATATAAGTACGTCTCTTGCGGCGTATCCTTTGCAAGTTTCGTTGAGTCGCAAAATGCCTACTCCCCTTAGTGTGTGACTTGTGGATTCCTTGTCTTCGTCGCATGTAATAAATACTACATCATAATTAGTTACGTATATCCACTCGTTCTTGAATCGTTTCTTGTGGAATATGGATGTTCCGATTTGGACGTGCATTACTTCACAAGTTGATGGAACTTTTATTGGATCCTGCAAAAGTTGTACTTCGCATGCTGGTCTACTTGTACGCGGGTATAAAGGATTACCTTCAGGACATAAAAGGAAGTCTCTAGCGTGCTTACAATGTGTATAGTAAAATTCATCATACATGGCATAGTGTTCTTTAGTTTTACTTATAGCTAGATACTTATTACTAGGTTTAACATAGAGACAATCATTTCCAGTACAAACTGGTACAGGTATTAAGTTATATAGAATAAAATCATTTTGATAGATTAATGGTAAAGTTAGTATAAAAACTAGGTTGTCATTAACATAGTATATAGCTAGGTCTGAGAGCTTTACCAATTCATAGATATTTTGTATATCTAGATCAGTGGGTAAGTCGGTGCCCCCAGGTAATGATACTTTAATGTCTTTTATGTGTTCTAAAAGGTCCCGTGGAGATATGAAGCTGGTATGGATACTGTGTGTTCTATAGAGTCTAATACTAGTTCCTTCTTTTTTCGTAAATCGTTTACTATACTACTAGCTGTTTGCATTAAATTGTTACAATTGGTATCAACATTATTTTTGATACTTTCACATATTATTTCGGTTTTGTTCACAACATCGTTAATATAAATAAATCTTTCTTTGTATTTAGCAAAGTTAATATACGCGGTTAAGTCCCATTGAGATGTGATAAGTTTCAATGGTCCCCGATTTTCGTAGTATAGACCGGAATGTTGTGTTAATTGTTCGTCAGTGTATCGAAATCTTCCCGACGTGAATGGTATAGTTAGTAGTATAAGTCTGAAAACCGGTTCAGCTTATTAGTCAAGGTAATTTAATGTAGGTAAATATATTAGATTTAAAATTAACCTATTGTATATATATACATAAGTGCAAATTAAAATAATAATATGAATAATCTTATTCCCAACTAGAAAAAATGCATAATTGCTATAATAAAAAACTATAATCGTAAAATAATAAAATAATAATATTCCGTCACCCTATATAATGTTTACTTTTTAAGTAACAATAATAATATAATAATAATAAATTTGTACTTTAACATCCGATTGTGTTTTTGATTAAATCGTGGAATTCTAATTGTAATTTACGCAATAAACAACGGGTCCATAGAACGTCTGTTCTAGGATCGTGAGCTTCGGAAAATCCGTGTGTTTTTTTACATAAGAGCTCATGAGCTTCGCTTAGTTTTAAAGCGCGTCCCTGTTTTACAAACGTTCCTATTTTAATGGAACAGATGGATTGCTTCGTAAGCATATCCGTTAGTTGCAAATCGAAGTTCCCGTTGTTGTTTGTGTCCCACCCTCGCATTGTCAATGCTCGACAACGTATGTGGAGAGCGTTCAGAATTTTAATGTCAGTAGAACCTTCCCACAGAATTATAGAGTTATACTTGTTAAGTATTGTTTGTATGGTGGTACGAGTTAAGTTCGGACACGAAGTATGGTCGGAGTCGTAGATTTGCGCAAGTATAGGGAATAGCTTTTTTGGTTTTCCCTTAAAAATGTTCACAAGGTGGTGTACCATAGCTTTCCATTCCCTGGTAGTTACTGGTTCATTGGTTCTGAGTTTGAGTGCGCGTCCTTCGAATTTCGTAACTAATGGTTCATAATGACCACATACGGCGCCAGATATTAAGATTAAATTTTCTTTTCCTAATTGTGTGAATTCAAAATCTACGACCGCGAACTCAGGTGGTTCACTAAAAACAAAACATATATATACATATGTATTGGACATCATCTATATACGATTGATATATATATATCCCGTAAGTGGTATGGTGAAAAAAAATCACGGTTATGGTATGGTGCGGTCTCCTGGACCACTTAATTTTGTTAATTATATTAAGACCATATTTTTCAATTATTCCATCGCATTATTTGCAGAAATAATACATTTACAGTGTCAACTTTTATTTGACTATCATTTTTTCGACTCAAATTTGACACTTTTTAAGAAAATAATTCATTTTATAGACATCTTAAAAAATTGCTATGTTATTTCTTACTTGTGCTTCGACAAAGCCTTAAGTGTTTAAAAATACGTTTTGAACTCCATCAACATCTAAATATTGAAGTAGATATAATTAAAATCAATATAAGAAAAAGAATGGTTCAAAAATTTTAATTTTTAGACACAAATAATGTAAGTCAAAATAGCCCTTTTTATCATTGATAGATCTACATATTTTGAATGAAATAAATTAAAAATCGCATATTCGACTTAATTTTTTATATTTATTGCTTGACCCACTTAGTATAACAAATATAAATAAAATATGATAATATATATTTATTGAAATAATAATCTACAAGAATAAAAAATAATTGTATATAGACAAAATATTTTTTCTTTTCAACTAAACTAAATAAAAATAAATAAACAACTTTCAAATAAAAAAAAAATTTAAATACTTTTATAAGACAACTTGAATTAAAATATAAATAAAAAATTAACAGTTACTTAGTTTCCGAAACAATTTGAACAAATTTTTCTGCTGCACTCAAGACATATGGGATCCCCACAGAGTTTACATTGATAAATAGTTTTCCTTTTCTTCTTAGGAGGACATATTCGACACGTTTTTCGTGATTCCAGTTTGTCTTCGTACACTGGCGTATCTTTTAAGTTTTTTGATTTACCGAGAACTCTTCCAATTCCACTTCTTATTTCACGTGAGATACATGTATTTTCAAAGCGTCTTTCTAATTCTGGACTCACAAGTTCAAACGCTAAACTCTTTAAATAATCGGCTCTTGTCATTGTTTCGTTATTTTTAAAAGAATTATATAAGACATACGAATTAACAGAAGAAACATCAAGAAGTCTGTAAAAAATTGCTAACGGCCAACGACGAGTACGACGCCCAGTAGAATAAATAGAACATTTTTCGTCCAATGCATCAACGCCTCCTTTTGTACTATTATAATAAGAAATGATTTCAGGTTTTTGGACATCATTGTCAAACCCTTTTTGATTGTGCATCGATGAGATTAATAACACTGCTTTATTTGGTTTTGGCACGTACGATAAAAGTGTAAGATCTTTTGTAAATCCATATTGAGTAAAGCCAACTGTACTTTTCTTTTTTGGTAGAAAAGCTTGAGGTATTTCACGTTTATTTTTTTTTAATGTACCAACATATGTTAATTTTTTCTTTTTTAAAAGTTCAACAAGTTCTATGGAACTAAACCAATTATCTGCAGTTACATTACGGTTGGTCCCTTGTATTGGTTTTGACAACCGTAAAACTGATTGTGTAGGCTTAGAAAACTTTCTTTCTGTATGATCTAAGGTAAGTCCATCAGTATTTTGTCCGGCGTAAATGTATGCGTTAAATAAATAGTGACATCAGTTAAGCGAATCAGTTAAGCACATTATTTTTAACCCGTATTTAGCTGGTTTATTAGGTATATACATTTTAAATTTACATCTACCACGAAAACTTACTAACATCTCATCCACGGTAACACATGAACTCAAAGAGTAATTCAATTTACAGTTTTCAATAAATTCATTAAAAATTTCAGAAATTGGTGCGAGTGGATCGTGTTCTTTTCTTTCAGTCCTAGTATCAGAATTATCGAAACGTAAACATGAAATTAAAAATAAAAACCGTTTTTTACTCATGACCAGACGAAAAATTTCACGTCCTGTTCCGTCAGTTGCAAATAAGGTGTTTGCATTTTCATGATTTGATTTGAATACAGCTGAGTAAAATAGCAAACCAAACAATGACCTTAGCTCAACTTCGTCTACATTTTTTAGGAAACTTTGCATATGATTTTTATATTTATGACGAAAACTATCAATTTTTATGTTTGTCCAAACCAATATTTCATTTATTATATTTTCAGTAAATAAAATATTCCAAATTTCAGAAGGACGAGCGGTATCACCAAATTGTTTAATTGGGCCACGCAGTCCAGGAAGTTTAGTAATGATATTATGTCGAGCAGTTCTCGTATTTTTAGACGCGAACTCCTCAACCGACCATTTAAATTTATTTTTACCATATAGGAATTTTGATGGTCTAATGTCATCGCCATTATCAGTATTACTGTCTGTCTCACTTTCATCTGATTCACTTACATTTTGTTCCGATTCGGAGTTATGATCACTATCAATACACATATTATCATGAACATCATCACTTACGTCTGAACAATCTTCAGCTAATATGTCTGATATAATGTTCTGAAAGTTCGGGTCATTTATCCTAATGTTAGATGAACTAGCTTCATCCATTTTTATTTTTTTTTAATTGAAAATAACGAAAAAATAAAAAACGTTAATGAACTTTGTCAAATTTTGATTAGAAAAAATAATTACGTAGATGGTATGGTGCGGTCCGCCAGACCGCTTATCACTTTAAAACAGCTGTTAACACCAGTATTTAACATGTTTACCTCCATAACCATTAGTTACCGTTTTGTACTATCTCCGTGGAAAGGTAAAACCAACCTCTTTGATTGTATCATTAATACCTTATCACCTAAATCAAAACAAAAAACTGCAGCGGTCTGTGTGACCGTACCATACCACTTACGGGATATATCTACATATGTCAAAATGAAGACGTTATTATAAAATACGTATTCATTCGAAGAAAAGTTAATAGAAAAATCGAATAGAATTAAATAGTTATCATAGTTATAAAAGAAAATGGCTATTGAAATGCTAATAAAGTACATGCTTTTTTTTTTAAATTTAAATTTAAAGTCGCATATAATCAAGTATATCTACTGGGTGTTCAGTTGTTTCCAAAAATTCCCTTAGATATGAACAAAGTGGTTTGCGTAGAGGTCTTAATGTTTTTGTTAAGTCGTGTGAGAAGTGATTAATTGTACGAGTGAGTTCCAACAGCTCCACTGGCGTATACGGTTGCAGTACATTTTTATTCGCCGTGTCTATATGGTTAAACATACACCGCGGAATTTCGTCGGGATATAAAGCCGTGTGGCAGTGCTGTTGTACTATTAACGTTGTACGGAACGTGGTCATAAAGTTTCTTCGTTTGTCCCTAAAATAATAATAAAAGAATTTGGTAGGAAAAATTTATAATAAATAGATAAGTTAAGAAAAATGAATTTGTAATAATTTATTCGGTATCGTCATCGTCGTAATAACGTTTTACGTTATTTTTATGTATACGATACTCGCGATTTCCTTTTTTAATCGTAATATTTTCATTGTCGTGTACTAAGAGTACCTCAAAAGGTCCTTGCCAAATTAAGCTAAGTGCATTTTTCTTATTGTGCTCTTTGATAAGAACTTTGTCACCTACATGTAAATCAATGACATTTAGGGTCCTATCGTAATAATTTTTGTTTGCCTCTTTTTTCTTTATTAAGTTATCTCGAGCGATTTTATGTGCCTCTTGCATAATTTGTTGAAGATCGAATACATAATCGTCGTAATTATATTGTGGCTCGGGATTTTTATTGAACGCTGATGGAATATTTGGTTTCCTTCCGAATACTAGTTCGTAAGGCGTAAAGTCAGTAGAAGTATGTACTGTTGTATTATAACAAAAAGTCGCGTAACACAATAATCTATCCCAATTACTGCCTTTGTCTACGAAGCTACGTAAATAAGTTTTTAATGTTTTATGAGAACGTTCCAGAAAAGCGTTGCTTTGTGGATGCCACGGTGTAGTTTTAGATTTTTTTATGTCCAACAGTTTACACATGCTTTTGAATACATCGGATAAAAAATTAGTTCCACAGTCAGTCAAAATTGACTCAGGTATACCGTATATACAAACGAAACATTCTACGAACGCCTGAGCTACCGTTTGTGCATCTGTGGCGGACAACGCTATTGCTAGCGAGAAACGACTTAGTTCGTCTTGTAGAGTTAAAATATACATGTTTCCTGTCAGTGTTTTCGGTAAGGGTCCTACTATATCTAGGCAAACCCTTTCGAATGGTTTAACTACCGTGCTAGTAATTAACATTGGTTGCTTCGTCTTTACGTGCGATTTATTTTTCTGACATAATTCGCAATGTTTAATATAATATTTTACGTATTTTTTCATGTGACGCCAGTTATAATTAAGTTTTAATCATTTTATGGTACTTGATACTCCGGAATGTCCACCCAATGGTGAATTGTGGTGTTCATAAATGATTTGTTGTTTTTCTTCTGACGTTAATTGCTGACCTACATATATTTTTATTACGATGTCGGTTGCTTTGAAAATGTGTCGAAACATCGTGCGAATACGCGGATAACCGGTTAGTGACGTAGGTCCGTCTAATTTATTGGTAGAGAATGCATTTATTTTATTCGACATGCAAAATGTTTTTATATCGTTTATAGCTAAGTAAATGACCTCGGCGTTAAGTGGTGTTGTATGAGTTGGCTTTAGACCATAAAATACGAGTAAATTTGGTTCACTGTCGATAGTGTAAAACTTGTTTGTATCCGAAAACTGGATTTTGTTTAAATCTATATTTTTTATTACTTCAAGCACTGCCGGGTTTGTTATAATTTTATCCTCCGGAATCATTATTATTACGTTTTCTCTTTCTATGGCCTTGACTAGGTCATCGTCGACTTCTATAATTTTCGAATTAAATATGGGTCTGCTTTCGGTCTGTGATCGGTTATAATGTTAAAATGTCGACCATATAAATATGGTCGGAAATATTTCACGGCCCAGACGATGGCTAATAATTCTTTCTGAATAACGCTATAGTTACACTCGGCTTTATTTAATGTTCTACTCGCATAAGCGATAGGCTGATATTTAGGGACTTCCCCTTGTGATAAGAGTGCTCCTATTGCATATTGGCTCGCGTCAGTCATTAGGTTGAACTTTCCCGCTTCCCAGTCCGGATAGACCAGTAATGGTGGGTTCATTAAAGCTTTTTTCAGTTCTTCGAAACTATGTTCGCAATTATCAGTCCATTCGAATGGTACGTCTTTTTTAAGTAAGTAAGTTAATGGTTTTGTGATTTTCGCAAAGTTATCGACGAAACGTCTATAATAGTTTAGTAATCCCAAAAACGATTTAATATCTTTTGCGTTTTTTGGTCGAGGGTATTCTCTGATACATTTTAATTTGTTTGGGTCCGGGGAAACTCCCGTCTCGTTTATTACTTGTCCTAAGTACAATACTTCTTTCCGTAAGAAAGAACATTTATTAGGCTGTAATTTGAGTTTGTGTACGCGCAACCGATTAAATACCTATTCTAATTTCTTTTGGTGGTCCTTTAAACTGGATCCATGTACTACAATGTCGTCAAGATATGCAGTGCACATTTCCTCAAGGCCCATAAGTACAGATTTCATTGCGCGTGTGAACGTAGCTGGAGCTGAGCTCAGCCCGAAGGTAGTGCCCGGATTTCGTAGAAAAAGCTGTTTTATGTGTGTCAGCCGGGTCTATATGTATTTGATGATAACCGGACGCCAAATCTAATGTACTGAAATATTTCGATGATCCTAGAGATTCTAATATTTCTAGTAAATTTGGGAGGCCATAAGCTTCGTTCTCGGTTACTTCGTTAAGTTTTCTGAAATCTACGCATACTCGTAATTTGGGTTTCCCTGTCGGATCTAGATTTTTCTTCTTCACTACTACTAGTGGAAAATTAAAAGGTGATTTAGAATCGCGTATAATATTGTTATGTTTCATTTCTTTAATTTGTTTTTCGATTTCTTCTTGGTACGCCCAAGGCAAACGATACGGTCGTATATTAATGGGTTTCGTGCAACGCGGCGTGTTTATAGTGTGTGTCACGATTTCCGTGGCGCTTAAATAGTCGCCCGGAAGGTAAAACAGGTCCGCGTAATTACAGCATAGTTCAAGGATACTTTCGCTTTCCTCTTTATTTAAATCGTCGGTCTTAATTTCGCGTTTGATCTGTGTTATACGATCGGTTTTTTTTTCATCTACGAACGATGCAGTTAATACATTTTCGGTATACGGCTCCCACTCGATATGTTGCGTGGTAAGCTCGTCTATTACAAAAGGTTCTTCCGAAATATTTATTACGTTACTAATAATGTTATTTTTATTGACCGGACTTATGCTGTTCGCGATTATTACGTTTTCGTTTACGTCTTGTTTTTTAATAGTAATATTCTCGTGACTTATATTTTCGTCGTTTTTTATAAGTAGTACACAATTGCTACGCGGCGGTAGTATAATTTCCTTGAAACCAGTTTTTTCGGGTATTGTTAATAAATTTCGGCTATAGTCCATTATGACTTTGTTTTGTTTTAAAAAGTTACGACCTATGATGCCTGACTCGTTTATTGGGAAATCACCAAAAACGACGTCGAATTTAATAAGCACCTCTACATCGTTAATTTCCATACTGGTTAGAATTGTGCCTACGGTGAATATCGGAATTTCGTTAATGCCTTTAATTGTGCGTTTCGCGGATTCGTTTACTACGACGTGTCCCTCTAACGCGGTTATTTTAATAAGATTCATCTCCGCGCCGGAATCAACTAATAATTTAATTTTATGAGGTTTGAAATTATCCGATGCACATATTATATGTTCCTCTTCGAAATTAGCTACAACTCTTACATGATTTTGGTTGATTTCGTTTACTGTACGGCTGGTACTAGGAATTTCACTTTCCTTGTTATTCGTTTTTTTACTCTCGTTATAAATACGCTTCCTACAATCTTTTATATTGTGGTTTGTTTTCTTACAGTACGAGCAGAATCTAACTTGACCTTGATATTCGTGTTTTACTACACTGGTTTTGTCGTCACGACTGCTAACGGGATTTCTAAAATTTGTGCTGTATGAGGTACCGGCGTTACTGCGGCACTCGTTTGCATAGTGACCCATTTTGCTGCATTTATTACACTTAATATTTTTTTTATTCGCGTTATTTTTCCCGTAAGTTTTTTCTGAATTTAAACGTCTATTAATATGTTGGAGGTCTTGTTCCTCCTCAATAGCGATAGTAATGGCTTGCTCGAGAGATGATACGGCGCGTTCTCGTAAAAATGACCTAATTGCTGGTTTCGCCCCGTTAACAAATGCAGTAAGTGCCCCTACTTTATGCGATGAAGCTATAGCTGCTTCTGCTGCTGGTTCTAGTCCTAATGTTAACGCTCCTACCAATTCGTGATAACATTTTTCGGTTCGACCGGAAAAACTACGTACGTCCTCGTCGGATCGTTGTCGACTATTACTAAGTTGCGATTGCAAGTAATTAATCGAATGCGGTGCCCCAAAAACGTTTCTAAGGTGGTTTTTAAGCTCTGACCAGTTTTCAAATTTTCGGTAACGAGTGGCCTGGTATGCGTCTCCCTTTAATTTAGATAATATATTGTGAAATACTACAGTTACAAAATTTTCATGGATATTTTCCATGACATAGTTACATTCGGTTATATATGAGGCTAGTTCTACCTCGGAACCCCCGCTAAAGTTAGGTATGCCGCGTAAGGTGGAGTCAATCCCTAATGTTACGCTCATGACTGTCGTTTGTAAAGTTTGCGGGTTATATTTAACTACTGTCCAACACCTTGGACTCTCAGACATATACTATATAATTGTTTTTAATGACAACTTACAGTGCAAAATTCATTGTATTCTTGTCTGGTCCTAACTGCTTGCATGCTGACGGCTCTGTGGACTCGTCGTTGATGCTCCGCTTGGCTAGTTGAGTGAAATTGGAATGTTGATTGAAGTTGGTGGCTTGGCTCGGCTTGCTTCCTTCCTAGGTAACAGCAACGTGAATAAACTCGAGGTCCGCTGATGTACTCGACTCCAGGTTGGTTGCTGGAATTCTTCCTTCAGGTGACCCCACACCTGACACCAAAAACGTGTAGTGATCCCTCACTAACGCTTATATTTTGAGTTTGACGACGTTGATGATTGAGTAGGAGAAAAGGTTGCAGAGTTACAAGTTACAACGTTATAATTTAAGTAATCTATTTTAAAGTTAATAATAATATAATGGTATTACATTTGAATATAGAAATTTGAGGACAGAGCGATAAGCGTCTGCCCGAGAGATTAGTGGTTAATACTAAGTACTTACAAGTATGTACGTCGTACTAGCACTGAACTAATTCTAATTTAGATACAGACGGAGACTCGTATATATACAAAGTCTCCCTAGGTTATTAGGTACACAGTAGAGACTCGGAGGTGGATCAAAGGAATACCGGCGGTATGAAAGGTACCGGCGTAAATGTTAAAAGTTGTCGAATAAACCTTGAGTTGCGAACTGGTTTATTTGGCAATATGTATTATTAGAAATCGTTATGCGATTTTGAAATATGTAATAAACCTCAGGGCGTGGTATAGTCGTTGATCAATATATCATATAGTGCAAAGTCCTTATGATGTATAATTATAGGAAAGCGACTCCGTCAGGATCATCCACATTTTTCACTACTTCCGATTCAACTTCTATATAATCTTCTGGTTCACTCTCGGGAACATTACTTTCAGTCCTATTGAAATAATAGTTGTATATTATACTAATTTTTTCAAACGATTAATTATTTGTATAATATGATATAATGTGAATGTTTTTTATTACCTTCTGTTTTCCATCGTAGGTCTTAAAAACTGTAAAATATTTGAATAAACATATGGTTTTTCATTTTTTGCAGCCTGTCCAGATTTTTTTATACACTTCTTTCGGTAGGTATCTCGTATGTTCTTCCATTTCAATTTAAGCTCCTTTACTAATGAAAAAAAAACATGTTTTTTTGTAAAAATTATTTACATAAAATTCAACGTAATATTGTGTTCATTGAAATAATCTAAAAATTAAATTTTCAACTTTTTGGCTCAACGAAAAAAAATGTATTGATATTTATAGAAAAAAAAATGTATTGACATTTATAGAAAAAAAACTAAAAATAATTTAAAATTTAAAATGTCTACAAATTGCTCTAAACAAGTCAAAATATTTTTAATAAACCTAACGATGTATAGAAAATGGTAATTTTTACATCCGGTGAAAAAAAAGAAAAAACTTGGCTGTTACTAAACTACTGCACTTGGTCTCACCACTATACATAATATAACTATAACTACTACATCATAATATAAATCTATAAAACAACATTCATAGTTCTGACGTTCAAATCGAGGTATTGAAAATCACCGTGTAAAAAAAATATATTAATTTTTCATTTCAAGACACTTTGCATTGTTACGAATAGAATAGTTTTTATTTTGCATTTTAAATTTATAAGTAATTTTATCATTTTAGAATTTTTGGGGCATTTAAAGTTTTTCTAAAATTTGTACATGCTTTTACATAATTTTTATATAAATTTAACAAACTATATTATATATATATACAGGTAAATACATTTATGATCTAAACCTAAAAAAAGAAATAATACATTTTTTAGATTAAAGAAATCAAAAAGTTTGTCTGTTCTGTCTTAAAAATTTTTTTACAATACTTTAATAGTCTAAAATGTATATTATCATTTATACCAAATTTGTATTAGAATTGATATCGATCTATTAAAAATTAAAATAATTTAGTGTATTATTCGAAATTTTCAATGCATCTTTTGAATTTTTTTAGGGCATTAAAATCCCAGCCTTAATAATAATTATTATGATAATTGATCAAATACAAGCCAAGGGGGCAACTGGCCCTAATCCCCCCTTTTGGACGCCCTTATGTGACATTTATTAGTTTTAGTTACTTTAAAAAAACTAAATCTTTTTCGTCAAAAACTGATTTTGCTTAAAAATCCCCGTATTTTCTTAATTTTTTGTTTGTTACTCAGAATGAAAAAATTGACTTTGAAAATGGTCGAAATTCAGCCCTATAATATTATAACTGAATCATTGTAATTTTTACCATATTCTGCAGTATTATTTCTAATGATATTTTTATTTGTTGGATAAAATATAAAAGGATATTATTATAAGGAATAATCTATCATATGATTTGAAATTTGGTAACAGATACTAAGCAACTGGACAGCACTTCTCGGCATTGCATTTTGAATTTTTGGCTGGTGTGTCAACTATAGCCATGATAGTCTGAGAAACTTGCAAAGATTTATGGACAATTTTACAACCTATTGAAATGGCAGAACCCACTACAAATGACTGGCTTAATATAGCTAAAGGTTACTTTGAAAAGACGCAGTTCCCGAATACTGTTGGTGCAATAAGTTATTTTATATACTTTTTAGTTTAACTAAGTAATAATCTATATATCGATGTTATATAATAGCTCCTTATATTTTTTACAGGTAGATGGAAAACATATACGGATTGAGTGCCCAAAAAGTAGTGGTTCGTTGTACTATAATTATAAACACTTTTTTTCACTGATTCTTATGGCTATTTGTGACTCAAATTATTGCTTCAGAATCATCGATGTAGGGTAATTTGGTAAAGAAAGTGATTGTAATGTGTTTAAGACGTCGACGTTTGGTAAAAAACTTTATGGCGATAAATTAAACTTTCCACCTGAACAATGTCTACCGAACGATGAATTTGGTTCACCACAAGTCACAACCATATTTGTTCTCGTGACCGATGAAGCTTTTGCTCTTCACAATAACCTATTACGTCCCTTCCCAGGTAGAACCTTAAACGATAAAAGGAGAATTTTTAATTACCGTTCATCGAGGGCCAGGCAATACATCGAATGTACCTTTGGCATCATGTCTAAAAAATGGCCAGTTTTTCAAACAAATATTTTGGTTGAGCCAGATGCTGCAGTTATCATAACAAAAGGTTGTTGTGTGCTACACAATTTTGAACGTCGCCGTGATGGCTTTAGTGTTGAAGATACCATGAGTAGGTAGTTCCTTCATGGAAAGTGTTCAAAGAAGAGGAGTAGGAAACATTCAAAAAAATGCCAAAGACGTCAGGGAGTATTTTGTAGAGTACGTCAATAACCCGAACCATGCACTTGACTGGCAAAATACAATAATTGGCAGATAATAATATATAAGCAGATATGTTCTAAAATTGAAATATTTTTCTTAAAAATTAAAAAATGTATAATTTGTTTCTATTAAGGTGTAGGGGAGACTGGGGTAAGACGGGACACCTAACTTGCAACTAATTTTTTATCATATTGATTTCATATAAAAGATTATTTTAAAGTATCAAACTATACAGAACTACATGCAGTTTCAAAATTTGCTATCAAAATTTAAATATTTTAACTTTTTTAATATATATTTTGGTTTTTCCAGAAAATTGAAATTTTCCCATCTTACCCCATAACTGTGGTAAGATGGGACATAGTATTGGGTTAGATGGGCCAAATAAATGAATGTATGAAAAATAAATATCAGGTGCCTAATTATTTATTGATAAATAGGTTATTCATAACAGTAACATTAGGGTTCAGTTAGGTATTTATAAATTACTCAATTTAAAAAAAAAAAACTTAAAAAAAGCTTTAAGGAACTTTATTTGTAAAATATAAAACATAAAATAAATGAAACAAATAACTTTTCAGTAAAATATACAATTTCAAATAAACTATTTGATTTGAAAAAAAAAAAACTATTTCTTATTTCTTATTAAGCTTTTAGGAACATTTCAGTTTCTCAGTCAGGTATTAAAATATATAACAAATAGGTACCTACTTAGTTAGTTAGTAAAATAAACAAAAACATAATATTACTAACTAACTAAAACTAAATATTTGTTATATATTTTTATACTTGACTGAGAAACTGAAATATTCCTAAATGCTTACATATTAAGTATTTACCTACTAAGAAATTAAGTTTTTTTTTTTTTTAAATTAAATAGTTTGTTTGAAATTGTATATTTTACTGAAGAGTTAGGTTATAATATAATATAATATAATATAATGTGACGAACACAGTAATAAAAACAGAAATATGTAGTTATTGTTAATTTTTTTGAATAAATATTGATAGTAAAACAATGTACTATGTAAAAATGTAATATGATATATTTTTTTTTTAAGTGTTTGTATTAAAATTACGAACCCTATGTGGGTTCAGCGCATCGGGCTGAATCAGATTAGGATCGGTAAAAACATATATACATCATGCAGAAAGGTCTTGGCTCCGCCCCCCGCGCTGAAACGTACTAGGATCGGGAAATACGCAAACCGTTACTGTTGAAATTTGTATGAACGCTGCTGGTACGTACATGCCACCTTTCTTTATTTTTCCAAGAAAAAGGTTCAACAGTGAATTTATGAGAAATGCCCCAATTGGTTCAATAGCTGAATTCCACCAATCAGGGTGGATGCAAAAAGACATTTTTGAAAAATGGATGGTGCATTTTATTCAATTTTCTCATGCTACTCAAGATAATCCAGTTTTATTATTGTTAGATGGTCATTGTACTCACACTAAGAGTATTGAACTGATTCAAATAGCCCGTGATAATGGAGTTTTACTCCTTTGCTTTCCTCCTCATTGTACTCACAGGTTACAACCTCTAGATGTCGCATTTATGAAGCCTCTGAGTACATACTATGACAAAGAAACTACAAATTGGCTTAGAAACCATGGCGGTGATGTTGTAACATTAAAACAACTGGCTGAAATTTTTGGATTAGCTTTTATAAAAGCTGCAACCATGACAACAGCAATCAATGGTTTTCAAAAAACAGGAATTTGTCCGTTTAATCCAGATATTTTTAATGATTTGGATTTCATGGCTGCTGAGACAACTAATGTACTAATAGAGATTGATGATATGGCTCAAGTTTCCAGTGTTCCGCCTTTACCAGTCATCAGAGAGTCATGTACGTTACCAGAAGCTTCAAATTCTACAGCAGATAATGAAAAAGTACCAGATCCTATGCCTGGGTGTTCACACTGGAATGATCAAACACCTAAAGTAAAAAAAACTACATTTAAAAATGTTTCACCTGAAGATGTTTTACCTGTACCTCAGCAAACATTAGAAAATAGGGAAAAGAAAAAAGGAACTCTCGCTTTAGAGGAAAAACTGCTGTTATAACAGAATCTCCATATAAAAAAGCATTGGAAGAGCACCAAAAAAATAGTAAAAAGTTTCCAGCTAAACGCAAGGTTACAAATGTAAAAAAAAAGTTATTTTCCAAACCTGACAAACCTTCCAACAAAGTGAATGAACAAAATGATGATCAAACAAGTAATGAAGATGATGTTGAATGTCTTTACTGTGGCAATACCTATTTGCAATCAAATGAAGGCTGGGTGCAATGCAGGGCATGCTTAAAATGGGCACATTATTCTTGTGTGAATGCTGGCGAAGATGAAAATGATGATGAACTGTATCACATTTGTGACATTTGTAAAGTTTAAGTATCTATTTAGTACTTTTATTATGTTTTTGTTTATTTTACTAACTAACTAAATATTTGTTATATATTTTTATACTTGGCTGAGAAACTGAAATATTCCTAAAAGCTTACATATTAAGTATTTACCTACTAAGAAATTAAGTTTTTTTTTTTTTTAAATTAAATAGTTTGTTTGAAATTGTATATTTTACTGAAGAGTTATTTGTAAAGTTTAAGTACCTAACTGTTTAGTATTTTAATAAACAAAAACATAATGAAAATACTAAACAGTTAGGTACTTAAACTTTAAAAATAACTCTTCAGTAAAATATACAATTTCAAACAAACTATTTAATTTAAAAAAAAAAAAAAACTTAATTTCTTAGTAGGTAAATACTTAATATGTAAGCTTTTAGGAATATTTCAGTTTCTCAGCCAAGTATAAAAATATATAACAAATATTTAGTTAGTTAGTAAAATAAACAAAAACATAATAAAAGTACTAAATAGATACTTAAACTTTACAAATGTCACAAATGTGATACAGTTCATCATCATTTTCATCTTCGCCAGCATTCACACAAGAATAATGTGCCCATTTTAAGCATGCCCTGCATTGCACCCAGCCTTCATTTGATTGCAAATAGGTATTGCCACAGTAAAGACATTCAACATCATCTTCATTACTTGTTTGATCATCATTTTGTTCATTCACTTTGTTGGAAGGTTTGTCAGGTTTGGAAAATAACTTTTTTTTTACATTTGTAACCTTGCGTTTAGCTGGAAACTTTTTACTATTTTTTTGGTGCTCTTCCAATGCTTTTTTATATGGAGATTCTGTTATAACAGCAGTTTTTCCTCTAAAGCGAGAGTTCCTTTTTTCTTTTCCCTATTTTCTAATGTTTGCTGAGGTACAGGTAAAACATCTTCAGGTGAAACATTTTTAAATGTAGTTTTTTTTACTTTAGGTGTTTGATCATTCCAGTGTGAACACCCAGGCATAGGATCTGGTACTTTTTCATTATCTGCTGTAGAATTTGAAGCTTCTGGTAACGTACATGACTCTCTGATGACTGGTAAAGGCGGAACACTGGAAACTTGAGCCATATCATCAATCTCTATTAGTACATTAGTTGTCTCAGCAGCCATGAAATCCAAATCATTAAAAATATCTGGATTAAACGGACAAATTCCTGTTTTTTGAAAACCATTGATTGCTGTTGTCATGGTTGCAGCTTTTATAAAAGCTAATCCAAAAATTTCAGCCAGTTGTTTTAATGTTACAACATCACCGCCATGGTTTCTAAGCCAATTTGTAGTTTCTTTGTCATAGTATGTACTCAGAGGCTTCATAAATGCGACATCTAGAGGTTGTAACCTGTGAGTACAATGAGGAGGAAAGCAAAGGAGTAAAACTCCATTATCACGGGCTATTTGAATCAGTTCAATACTCTTAGTGTGAGTACAATGACCATCTAACAATAATAAAACTGGATTATCTTGAGTAGCATGAGAAAATTGAATAAAATGCACCATCCATTTTTCAAAAATGTCTTTTTGCATCCACCCTGATTGGTGGAATTCAGCTATTGAACCAATTGGGGCATTTCTCATAAATTCACTGTTGAACCTTTTTCTTGGAAAAATAAAGAAAGGTGGCATGTACGTACCAGCAGCGTTCATACAAATTTCAACAGTAACGGTTTGCGTATTTCCCGATCCTAGTACGTTTCAGCGCGGGGGCGGAGCCAAGACCTTTCTGCATGATGTATATATGTTTTTACCGATCCTAATCTGATTCAGCCCGATGCGCTGAACCCACATAGGGTTCGTAATTTTAATACAAACACTTAAAAAAAAAATATATCATATTACATTTTTACATAGTACATTGTTTTACTATCAATATTTATTCAAAAAAATTAACAATAACTACATATTTCTGTTTTTATTACTGTGTTCGTCACATTATATTATAGTCATAATATAAGTATTACTAATAACAATATTATAAGTTAAATATTTTTAATCAGGCTGAGCGTTGTGATATAAAAATGTCATCAATCTATATAAAATGCGCAGTACTAATAAATAATAAATAAATAAATAATAATTATAATACAAGTAAAATATTTTTTATCAGGCTGAGTATACGTATTACATACAGCGTCATGGTATAAAATTTTCATTAACATATTATTATAAAATGTGTCAATAAATAATGAAAACATAAATAATAATAATAATAATATAAGTAAAATATTTTAATCAGGCTGTGTTACATGCAGTGTTCTGTGTTATTGTATAAAAATGTAATGCTAGTGATGTGTTGCATTGAGTTTGTTTGCTTGTATATTTGCTCCTAAATTTCTTTTGTTTTTTTTTTTTTTTTTAATTGAATTTTTTCGACTTTAGATGGGCGCCCTGCTTGAATACGTTTAGATCCTTTAGTGAGTCCAGCTCTATCTTTACGACGTGCGATTGTAGTTGGTTGTACACTTATATTTTTATCCATTCATCATGTTAAGTGTAAATTTGACGTGTCCTGGGATTTATTTGTGAATTAGCTAGGGTTATGGATATTAATATTGATTGCTATTAATATTGATACCATCATTTTGAGTTGAAGGAAACATTATGAGATAACTTAACAATACAATTTATATTAGGTAATTCCACAGCGTAATATAACAACACTGTATGTAACACGTATACATACATTATAATATAGGTACATTATATTAAATAGGTATATAGTCATGTACGATGTACCTACCTAACCACAACGCTCAGCCTGATTAAAAATATTTAACTGATATTATTACTATCTAGTAATACTTAGGTATATTATGACTATAATATAATGTGACGAACACAGTAATAAAAACAGAAATATGTATTTATTGTTAATTTTTTAAAAATTACGAACCCTATGTGGGTTCAGCACATCGCGCTGAATCAGATTAGGATCGGTAAAAACATATATACATCATGCAGAAAGGTCTTGGCTCCGCCCCCCGCGCTGAAACGTACTAGGATCGGGAAATACGCTAACGGTTTCTCCGCGTTCAGCAGAAGTAATAGCCCCAACTTGTTTCCTACCCTTTGATGCAATAATTTTAGATTTGGATTTTGGTACAGAAGAAATCCCCGTCTCATCACAGTTATATATCCTATCAGGCTTAAATTTATATCGATCCATTAACCCACCAAGAAGTTGAAAAAAATCATCTACAACCCTTTTATTAAAGCCCATTGCTCTTGCAACAGATGTCGCTTCAGGTTTTCTTAGAGATAGTTCGGGATGCCTCTTCATGAATCCTTGGTACCAATCAAAGCCTGCTTTTTTTTAACATGAGAAAAATCATGGGTGATATTATTTTTTTCTGCAAGTTGATAAGCAAGTTTTTTTTAAATCTTCAACACTTAGACCAAATAAACGACCTTCCATTAGTTTCAGATAAGAAACCAATTCATTTTCTTCTGTAGTGTTAAAAACTGTTAGTCTTAGTCCTAATGAATCTTTTACTCCAACATCACATGTTGGATCATTTCTTTTTTTCTTTACCTATTAAAATAATACATTATGATTATAAGTAAAACAATACCTAATACAATTTTATATAATTATTCTACCTTTCTTTCGAGAGTACTTTTTGAAACACTAAACTTCTCACATGCTTCTCTAAATGTTTTTCCAAGAACAATAATTTCATCTACAGCAGCACGCATATTGTTAGAATCCCACATTTGCCTATTAGATGTTCTTTTTCTACCACGAGTCATATTGATGACAGTATTTTTACCTGCGCATTCGATTAAAACTAATATAATAATATATTAGATTGTAATATTATTTACTAAGTACTAAATACAATATTTGATATTTGAGGTAAGATGGGACATGTCCCATCTTACCTCATAGTGAGTTTCCCATCTTGACTCAAATGCTATTAATACATATAATGTTTTCTACTATTTTATGGTCTACATAGAACTAAAAATAAACGATATAAATGTAATCCTTACAAAAAATACTATAATAATAATGTATATTAATAATTAATTGAAATAGATTTACATACCTTAAACAGCGATGATTTTTCATAAATTTAACATCAAAATTCCGTTATCACGAAAAAACGACTTTTTGTGTTATTGTTATGCTTAATCACAAATATTTCACCGAATTATAACAGTATGGCCAACATAAATAATTTGTGTGTTGGAAAAAATATAATGAAAACAATAGATCACGATTTATTAACATTTCCCATCTTACCTCACGACTTCATTTTACCCCAGTCTCCCCTATTGGTTTTTTAAAAACCAATTTATTTATTTTAACTTTTAAGGTCAAGAAATTTGTTTATATGTAAAACTAAATGACTGAACTTTTTGATATAATATAGGTAGTGTCCATAATATTTAAAACGTTCACAAAATGTACCTTTCATTAATTTAATATCTATAAAGTATATTATAATGATTCAAAATACTGTGTTTAATAATTAATAATTAATAACTAATAATTACTACCCTAGTATTTATGTTAATTAATACTTTTTTTATTTTACTACAATAATTATTACTTCGTATTATTTATTACATACTTTTTTCTGTTTTTTTTTTTTATCGTCCATTTCGTCGAAATGTACTGTACAAGCACGAGCCACGTTGGTCCGTCCTACATGGAGAGCCTGGAGATCGTGATGACTACTTTCTTCTATATTTCAAAGACATATTATGTATTATATAAATATTAAATGGTAAGTGTTTGAAGTATGAAATATTTCACTACATTGTGAAATATTTCGCAAAAACGTGAAACGTTGAATTTTTTTTAACCCAAATAAAAACACTATTTTTTTAACACAATGTTCAGTGTTCTAAATTCTACTGTAAGAATTCAGTAGGTACCTATACAATATACATGTATAATATTGTATACCTACTTGCATCATTTGAACATACAAATATTGATAAATTTTGAATACCATTTTAAATGTATAATACCAAAGGTTAGGTATTACATAATTCATGTATAAGTAGCATACAATTATGAAGGTAATTTATAACAATTATATGTACTTACCTAAATATAAAACTTATTTAAAAATAAAACAAAATGTATAACAAAATACTGAAATATTTCACACATTTGAAATGTTTCATGAAACATTTAATTATTTAAATTTCATGAATTTTTCCACTGGTATTAGTCCATACTAAAAGTCAGTCTTGTAAAGTATTTGAGTAAAAGTATTTGAGTAAAAGTATTTGAGTAAATGTATTTAAATACTTTCATTGTATTTAGAATACTTTTTAAATACTTTTTGAATAAAGTATTTGGAAAGTATTTTAAATACTGTTTTGGACGTATTTGTATCTGAAAATCAAATACTTTTATTTAAATACTTTATTGATTTTTTTTCAATAATAAATGATTATTTATTATCTTTTTTCTCAGAAATCAAAGTTATATCATGACTAAATAATAATATAGTCATGAGTAATATCATTGAAATTTAGTAAGTTTATTCCCGACATAGCCTCCTAAAATGCAAAATATTATTGTTTTTTTTTTTCATTGAAGCCTATATTAGTTTATTGTGATGTGAATTAGTTGAAACTCCAAACTGTAAACATAGAACAATAATGAAGCGAAACTCGATCAGCTGATTCGGTTTACGACTTTACGTTTACCTATGATCTATGAAGTCTGAATCTAAAACGAGCCCATAAACCAACATAATATTAGATCCACGAACGGCATGGGAAAAGACGAAACTGTCAGAGAAAACGAAAAAATTCGGCAAAAAAGTCCGGCCGCCCATATAGCAAAGGAATATTTAATGAATATTTCTTGATTATTCATTTTCGTATATTTATGTCTATTGTATATCTAAATTAACGCTATAGAAAATTTTTTAACATACATTAGATATCTATCACATGTCTTATGAACCAAACATCCAGATCTCATGGATGTTGAAAGTGAAATATTCAACAAATATCAGATACAAAGTAAAGATGGGATATTTGCTTTTAATATCAAATGTATATTCAATGATTATTGATTTTAATACAATATGATATCTCTTAGACATCTACCTAATATCTTTTTAATATCAAAAACATATACATACAATAAATATTATATAAACAAAAATGAATATCTTCTGTATGTATAAGATGAATTATCAATTGAATATGCATTTTTATATAATAAATAATTATAAAATTGTATACTACAAAATATATTATAAGCATTGATTAAGTATTCTTAATCAATGTTATAAGTTATATAATATACTCTAATATTATATTGTATGTATACCACTTACCTGAAAAAAATATCTGATACAAATTAAATAATAACAATTAATAATTATTTTATGATATTAATCAGTTTTAGTCTAAAATATAGGTAATTACAATACTTTTAGTATGTAAAGTCTATATAATATCTATAGAACTCGAGTACATTGTATATGCAAGTAGTTCAAAAGAGAATCTTATATATATTAATTAACCAGGTATTTAGTCTGAATTACAATGACAATAGATATTACCTAACATTATGGTCTTAAAGAAATGTTTTGAATAAATTGAACAACAATAAATCTTTGAATAAAATTCTTCCTGAATTTTTATTCTCAAATCATAATTAGTTATATAAAGATTTACATAATATTTTCCAATGGATTTTTTTTAACGAGCCGTCCTTTGGCACTAGTTAGCCATTTCCCTATTGCAGTGATGATTTCATCATTGGATGCATTTTTAAAGTTCGACTTCTTACTTGCATCTAAACAAATTTATTATAAAAGTGTTAACTAAATTTTAATGATTTGAAGTTTAATTTACATGTCATAATAATATAATTAGTGAAGTTACACAACAATAATTAACAAACTAAATATAAAAAAAAATAAAAATAAAAAAACTACGTGAAGTTATTATGTAGTAAGTTTAATTTTTTCATAATGGTTTATATGTAGTTTGTGTTATAAATAAAATATAAACCAACAATAATACATTATTATAAATTTAGTTTATATTGTGAACCACTATATTTCAGATAATTTATAATTATGCATAAAACTAAAAATATTATAATTGAGCTAAAAAATTAGTATGTTTGATTAATATATTATTAATGTACTATTACCAAAAATTGCCTTATTGATAGATAGTAATGAAAAGTTGTCTTTGTTTCGTAGACCATAATATGTGTAAGCAATCAAAACTTTGTCATCGAATACTCTTTTCATAATTTTGTAAATCATATTTTTGAGTGATTTACCACCAATTCTTGCAAGCTCGCATACCTATAAAAATTTACATTAGTCAAATTTACAATTTAATCTTCATACAAATTAGAATAGCATACAACTTGTTTTTGAAAATGAACATCGGATTTAATTTTTTCTTCCATATTGATTAGGTCTTCTTTATTAGAGATAGGCCAATTATGTATAAAGTAGTCAACTTCATGTTCCCAATTAAACTCATCACCTTGCAGGGTATTAACATTCTTCGATTGTATCATTTGTATTATGTGTTGTTGATTATCAGCAATCTTACAAATTTCTACTTTTAGGACAGCTAAGTAATTTAACGTTGCTTTTTGAAAACCTAAGAAAAAGTTCAACAAAAAATTAATTATTATCAAAAATAATTTGTACATTTGTGATTGAAGATACAAAAAAAAAAAAAATTAAATAACTAAGTTGTATAATAGCAGGGCTGCGAGTTTTTGAAGCTAATTAAACATTTTTTGTTAAACTTCTAAATAAAATTTAAATGATTCTTACTAACTTCTTTTATAAAATAAATACAAAAAAAAAATGGTTATTTTAAACATAAATTTGAATAACACATAAATAAATCATACAACCTAAATAAATGAATGATATAATAAAGAATAATATTCAAGATTAGTGTTAGGAGCTTCTTATATTATATCCTAAAATATGACAATATTATTAGATTAACAGATTACAATTATAAGCCCAGTTATTATTATGAAATGTACCCATACTAACTAATTAAAAATAATAATTAATTAAATGCATGCAAAACAAAACTGGAGATAAGTGACTTATTTTTCTAAATAAGCGACTAAAAAAGTGACTTAGTTTACAACAAAGTGACTACTTACTCAATTGATAACAAATGAAATATAGGATACTTTACCAGTAAATGAAGCAGAATTAATTGGTAGTTGAGATTGTAGTGGTTGCTGAGATTGTGAAAGGGTAGATGGAATGGCATACATACTTTCATTATTTACATCAATATCATTATCTAATAACATTACAATAAATAAATTATAATAATATTACATTCGCATGTTTAAAATTAGTATATTACTTACCCAAAGTAGGCCAGATTTCAGTAGATGTATCTTGTTTTTGCTTATGATGGTTCGGAATATAATTCTGATCAACATCACTATCATCAATAACAGATGCTGCAAAAATATTTACATTCAAAATATACTATAACTTTACATAAATACATAGGTAAAGGAATTCAACAAATAATTATAAAACAATTAGTAAATAAAAAAAAAAAAAGAAAATAGTAAATTCTCTAGTAAGTTTATTTTTACCTATTAAAAATAATTAGTTTAGTTATAAAATGTAATAAATACTCATTTAACTGTACATTGGTACAACTTACAAGTTTCAGAACATTCACTTGTTTTGTGCGAGTTAGAATTATCATCGGAGTTTGCCAATATAACATGTTCTTCTTTATCAATATTTGTTAAAGAACCTGAACAATAACAATTTTTTCGTTATATACTACATCAAAATATACTAATTTCACAATTTTTAGAACTTAAACATTACTTTCTACAATTTCTTAAAGTTTTATTTTATATTAAATGAATAGGTATATTATATAATTGTATGTTAAATATATTCAATGCACTTACAACCTGACAGCACAGAGCTTTTTTTTTTACTAACAGCTGCTTTATCTAATGATTTCTTCATTTTTAGCTTTCTATTGTATTTATTTCCGTCAGATACATCAGATGTGAATTGTGCTTTGTCAGTTTTGCTTTTAGCTTCAGATAACAATGCTAATAAAAGAAAAAATGATTCATAGTTTATAGATTTTTAAATAGATTAACTTACTTACCAATATCTTTAGAGATGACTCTACACTTATAATAGCTGTAGTCTATTTTATTTGGATATGAACGGCTGGATCTGAATTTTTTTAAATTACTGTCGTTGTTTGGCCACGCACATACCGTTTTTATGCCATCTTTTTTGACCCAAATTGAAGGTACATAGTCCACAGAATTATCGGATGAAAAATGTACTACAGCCCACATACTTGGTTCTATTATAAGCTCACCTCCTATATATACCTACAATATATTACTTAACATAAAAAAAAACATAATATAAATATTAATATAATCAATTTATGTTAAATTTATGCCAATATAAAGAACCTAACTTAACTTAGTAATAAATAATAATATGTCAATGTTTTTTTCAAAAATAAAAAAACACGCATAAGAAAATGGTTTGGTTAATATTATATTTAATTTTATTTTATTATACTAAAAATGGAGTGATTGTTATTTTTATTATAACAATAAATGTACTAAAAATTAACAAAACTCAATAGGTATATTAGAAAAAACTATAATTAATATCATATTATTTGATTTATTTACATTTATCATATCATTTTACTATAATAACTAAATACAAATTAACTAAATTTAGTTAGGTATTAAAATGAACTATTGGAAGAGCTACAGAAAAATCTAAATCATCTAAAATGGAGTGATTGTTATTTTTATTATAACAATAAATGTACTAAAAATTAACAAAACTCAATAGGTATATTAGAAAAACTATAATTAAGATCATATTATTTGATTTATTTACATTTATCATATCATTTTAATTTATTAACTAAATACAAATTAACTAAATTTAGTTAGGTATTAAAATGAATTATTGGAAGAGCTACAGAAAAATCTAAATCATGTGTGGGTAACACCATATACTTTGTGAATATATCTTCAATTTTATAGATGGAAATTGATTTAGAAAAGTTGCTTACCTTATAAATACCTATTTCATCACTTTTTATGGGTTTCTCAAAGAATCTTTCAAGCTTATTGAATTTTCTACCTAATATTACATTATTTTTTAAGCTTTGACTATAACAAATATTGATCACTTTCACTAACACAAAAGATGAATTAATATGTAAGCCAACAAATGAGTCAGCATTGACATTTATTTTTATTTTTATTTTATCTAAAATTAAAATTTTAAATTGAGGAGATGTAGTGTCACTTATTAATGGACCTTCATTATGTTCCATTTTAAATATTTTTAACAAAGTTTCATTTTCAGGATTATTAAGGTTTACTATGGGAGGGTTAATAAGACTAGAACGTTCTTCAAATCTTCTTACTACTTGCTGAAGTGGCTTATCACTTTTACGAACTAGTTTTTTTAATTGTCCCATATAGTTTTCAAATTTGAAACAACTTACACTATCTAATGAACCAAAACTGTTATAATCATCAAATAAATGTATTAATGCATGCACATTATGAGATATAAAGTGATTTCCATACAAGCTACCAAAATCTTTAACAAACTTTAACATTATATACTTAGCAATTCCAGCTAAATCTCTGTAGTTAGGACTCAAATAAATAGTCATAGCAACGCTTAAATATAAAAAATGTTGATACAATTTTTTGGGCACAATCGAATGAATTGAAACAACACCTACATATAATAGAAATAATCTGTACTCTGTGGCTTTCCATCGTGCCAATTCATCCAAGGATCTAGCTTTACGTACAAAATCACATGGTATGCATGTTTTAAATGATATAAGTCTATCTGATATATTTCTAATTTTTCTATTATTCAATTTTTGATTATTAACATCTCTTCTTCCAATTCCAAGAGTCCCCTTCCATAACATCAATATTTTTTTAACAACACCTAAGCATACTACGTGCATATAATCCAATGAAAAGTTGTTAACAACATCAAAATTTGGAATGCTAACAATTTTAGTTGCATCACCATCTGAGTGATATTGACGTTGAATTTTATTAATGAAATCCTCATGAGTTCTCATAGAACACTGTAAATTAGGAAAACATACACGCCTTTCTACATATTGACCTTTAACTGTACACCTAGCACAAGAATAAAAGCCAGTATGAGTTTTAGTTTTCAACACAAACGCACGAGCCGGTGCATCACAACAGAATGTGTCGACTATTACTTTTTTATGAAAAACAGTTAAAACATTATTGTATAATAATTCAACATCAATACCATTTATAACAAGTTCTCTAATCTCAGCTACAAAATCATTTAAAAAAACATTGCTATCATCTGGCTTGTTATAACCCCAATATATGCCAATAGGGAATACAGTTTCATTTTCCTGTCGAATGTAACCTAATATTGGCCAAAATGCACTTCCTGAGCTTTTCATTAAAGGCAACCCATCAATTCCAATCACTAATTTAATAGTTTCACTTGAAAAATGTTTATCAATGTACTTTTTTATACTATATTGTACACCAAAATGGTAGTATATACCAGGGGAAACTGTTTTAACTTCAACAGGATTGTTATAAGATACTCCCGAATAAGTTTTATAGAAAGTTCTACTAGAAACCGGTAAATCATTAAAGCATTTATGAGAATTTATTACTTTTAATAAGCTGTCAAAGGTGTTATTGGGTACATTATGTTCAGTAGCCCATTGAATTAATTTGGTAGAAAATGGTTGTTGTGTCGTGGCAGAACCATTGTCATCAACACTCCTCACATTCAAATCTAGATTTGAGGTGTTTGAAACAGTGCTTAGTCCGATGTGATCAGTTACTTTGTCATTGATGGTATTATATATTATTTCAGTATTACAATTTTCAACCTCAATAGGATAATCATTATTCAATTCTAAAGGAATATTATTACCAGCACTTAACGGGGATGGGTTGTCTAATTCAACTAAATCATTTGTTTCAGGCAAATCATTACCGTCAGTCAGATGTTGAATAAAATTTAATTCACCTAATAACCTCCGACGTTTGGTAGATTTACTCATATTATTTGATCTCAACATAGTTATAGATCGATAGGTAAACTATTATGTGAATTAACACTAAAGTAAAATAATACTTACCGTAATTAAACAACGACTGTAGTAGATATATTACTGTAGACAAAAGTACAAAACAGACCGTACTGAGTAGACACAATTAATAAAAAAATAGAAAAATTATAGTTAGTACCTAGTCACTACACAGATAAAATAAAATACATATATAATATTATGTTATATTATTATTTATTACGTATAACCAATATTTATCACTGACTATAAGTAATGAGCAAAACAATTAATTCGCGACCACAGGGAAAACCTTATTATTAGACATCGGTTACGTCAAGTCACGACCGGCAAACGGACAAAGCGGCCAAGTGGGTAGAGTGACCAACGTTGCTCACAGAGTCGCCGAGCCCAGGGAAAAACAAGGTTTCCATTATACGCCTAACACGCTTTTCGATTTCTGATATTTGCACAGATATAAAATTATATCTGTGGATATTTGAACAGAAAATTAGACACCGGTTATCTTGCTTTATCAGTTTTCAAATTTTTCGTAAATATGACGTTTTTCGAAAAGTATTACGCTTTTTACTCCGTTTTTCACTTTTTTAACCTTTTCTCACCCCCGTCACTCCTAAGCTGCGAATGTGCGGTTTGTATGCGAATTCGATTTGTACACTTCAAAATTGTGTAATCACGTTAACAAATTGTCAGTCGGTCTTCGTTTCGACGCACAACTTGGATTCAATACTGATCGATATATTATATACCTACTGTTTTTTTTTTTGTTTTGTTTTTGATTCAATAAATATTGCATTGTACTATTATTTTTACATATTTTTTTGTCCTTTATTCTTAATATATATTTAAGCCCTGGTCGACTATACGTAATGTAATGTAATATACTATACTTGTCATAATAGGTACCTACAGAACTGTCGACGGTGTTATAAAAGTCAGTATGTACTGCTATGTTTTAAATATTAGTGTTGATATAGGTGAGTTAGCTACTATATGAGGAGCCCATATTGGTCATTCAATATTTAATTAACCACACAAATTGTGCAATAGTGTAATGTACTATACTACTATAGGTAATAAGTTGCATTCTCATGAGAATTTACATTCTTGAATACTTAAATAAGAATGACAATATAATAATATGTTGCATATTCTACAAAATTCAGATTTTTAATATATATATTTTTCTTAATGTTAAATAGATACACTGCAAATATGCTATTCGAGATAACCTTTTTTAGCTATCATATAAATATAAGTGACACTATATTCTGTATATATCATTAACAAAATATCTATTGGATATTTTTGACAAATCAGATTTTTGATATATTCTTTCTGATATTAGATAGATACACTGCAAATATCTTATTCAAGATAAACATTTTTAGATATCTAATATATATTTATTATAACATGTACAGCAGATACCATACAAAAAATATCCTATGTACATCGCGCACAAATTATTTTTTTGATATCGGAATCTTCATATACTGAAGTTAGCATAGAAATATATAAACAAATACATTGGTTTTCAATTATCGTCAATATATTGTACGTATATTCACTAACGAATATACAAAAACGTATTTAAACTGAATATCAAATAGACATCAATACATTCAATTTGCTATATGGGCGGGAACGTATTTTGCGTAGGTGCTGTGCTGTCCAAAAAAAGAGGCAAAATGAATGATGACAATTTTGAAAAGATTATGATTTTAAAATCCAATAAAGACTTTTGGTATTAATTTTTGTTTTTATTTTTATTTTTTTTCCTGTTGAATAATTGAATAGTATACATACGTAATATATACATTAATACAAATATTTTCACTACAGAAATATAGCATTTATATATAAATTATTTTCTCCAGAAGCTAGGTTTGTTGTGGAGATAAAGGTTCTTATAATATCTATTTAGTTCTCATACAATAAATAATTAAAACGATCATTCAGTGATTATTAACTTATCATACAATTATAGGTACCTTGGTTAGTACCAGAATATGAAACATGCATTATAATATATGAACTATTAAGTATTAACTATATAATAATAATTAATATGTACAGTTTGAATGAGTTTGATCTCATGGTCAAATTTAAAGTTAAAATATCAGAGAAAAAGTATTGAACCTAAAGGTAAAACTTAAAACAAATGTATTAAAATAAGTATTTGTGTTTAAATACTTTCTAAGTATTTGTATTTGTTCTTAAATACTTATTGAAAAAAGTACTTTAAATACTATTTAAATACTTTTTAAGTTGATGTATTTGCATCTCTATTTAAATACAAATTAAAAGTATCTTTTTACAAGATTGCTAAAAGTCCTGACACCTAGGTGTAGAGCCAGAGGGGGTGAGGGTTAAAGTTGCGCTTTTTGGGTTTTTCGCTTATATCTCGTAAACGGTGCATCGGAGAAAATTTTTTTTAAATAACAAAATAAAGCTCATAAAATCATCTAAAACTTTTATATCGTAAGTTTTTTTCGAATTCACAACCGTTTTCGAGCTACAACTTCGCAAAAAGTAGAATATTACAAAAAAAACATTTTATCTCACTATATTCATAAAACAATCCATCATATTATCTACCATATTCGTTTTTTTTAATTTTTTACTCTGCCACCCCTCTCCTTGGATGACCCTCCCTCAAAAAACATCAAGATTACGGCCTTTGTGTTTATTAAAAAATTAATATATGCATAAATTGAGTTTTTAATTTTTTTCCAATTTATTCTTGCAATAAAAATGTTATACAATATAATATTATATTATATATTCTAATTATATAAATTTAAACTACATCACCATTTGTTCATAAAATTTCCATCCAACTTCTAAAAATATTAATAGCGATTATAAACTTAATGATAGACTATAATATTATTGGCTAGTAATAAATATAGATATAATAGTAAATATTTGGAAATGTTCGAGTGTTCAACTTGTCATTCCGTTACCCGTATGTCTATATAATATTACTATACTCCGGCCCACGAGAGAGTATTACCGTCGCCCGACGAAAACTCGTCCGATTCCGCGCATTCCCCACTACTCGGCATGTGTCGACAACTGTTCGGTATCGGTCGGCAGCGCTCAACGCTATACGGTGTATAGCGGTCGCGGAAATAGTGGGGGAAATGGGGCCTCGGAACGGTCTCCGCCGTCAGTCTGCATGCGCAAAACGGTAATACTCTCTCGTGGGCCGGAGTATAGCTGATCCCCGTGCACTTCGTCGCCCGATAAATGTATCAACTCAATATGACTCAAACTTTGTTCAATTCGTTATTCAATATTCGGTGTATGGTGTTCAAAATTTATCTTATCTTTTCCGTTGCCCGGAATAAAAATTCTGAATCGCAGCAGTACATTATCAGGTAGGCAATCTACCTGCGGTATATCGCGGACCCCGTGCTGTTTATACGGAAGTGTATGATTTAACTCTAAAGTATCAAAGTTATAACAAGTTTATTTTGATATAATAAGGTGGATTAATATAACAAATTTGGTTGCTCGTAAAAAATCGCAACTCTTAAAAAAATTATGATTGTTGAACTCCTTTTGGGTGTAACTTGCTGCGGTAAGTGCAACTCAGCCACCCTGGTAGGCAATGTTCAATATTTCGATTTGATGCAAGCTTGTACCTGATCTGCCCGAATAACCAATGGCAACCAATAAATAAATGCTAATTTCTACTGTAGACATTGGTTACAACCAATGGCAACTATTAATAATTAAAAATAAAATTTCCAATTTCCATGTCTTCCATGTCTCAATGTCCCTGTTTGAGCACCTATTTAAAATGCGAATTTTCGCAAATCCTTTCTTATTGTACGGTGAAAATACGAGAAGAACCTCTATTCCAAATTTCAAGTCCGTACGTTGAGTAGTTTTTGAGATACAGCGATCAGTGAGTCAGTGGTATTTGGATTTTATATGTATAGATAAGTAATTATTGACTAACATTATCGGACTTTATTTATGCCTAAAACCTGCTCCGTTATATGATATTGTATGATTGGAAAAAGTGACTGCCGGAAAGCAATGCTGACTTATTCTGCAGCGTGCCTCCACTGCCAAGGTAAATGCATGAACAGCGTGCCTGTTGAAGATGAGGACGATGAAGACGACTATGAAGAGCAAGAGGCACCAATTACTACAGACAAAGATGCAATGGATGAACAACCTGGGCCCCCAAATTCAAAGAAAATGAAAATATGATTCCATGTAAAATTAAGAATTACTTGAGAACTACTTATCTGTAAAATTAAGTGTGTATTATCATTATTTTTGTCTGTTTTATTTCTTAAAAGTGTGGCCACATATATTATTACATAAAAGAACAAAGGTTGTGGGTCAAGAATATGATATATACATTATACGTTATGAAAGTTGTAAAATAGCTGTAAATTTAGGCAGCTTGGAGATTAACAATTAACATATGTGTATATATTCTGAAAGGGAATTTAAATACCTATCTACAACTTCTTTTCTATGCATATTTTTAGTTTATGAATAGGTTTAGACAATATGATGGATTGTTTTATGAATATAAGGAGGTAAAATGGTTTTTTTTGTAATATTCTACTTTTTTCGAAGGTGTAGCTCGAAAACGATTGTGAATTCGAAAAAAACATACGATATAAAAGTTTTAGATAATTTGATGAGCTTTATTTTGTTATTTAAAAAAATTTTCCTCCGATGCACCGTTTACGATATATAAGCAAAAAACCCCAAAAGCGCAACTTTAACCCCCTCCCCCCCGGATCACCACCTAGGTGTCAGGACTTTTAGTATGTTAATAACCTAAGCCCCTCGAACAAGTTTCTGAAGGAATCGCTAAGTTACCTGCTCACGCACTCTACACCTCATTCCTTGACTGGACTATATTCAATAAATAAAAATATATTTTAGTCGTTTACTATGTAAAATTATACAAAATAGGTACTTACGTTTATTCCAGATACACTCATTAGCTTGTATCACTGCTGTAACGATCTTGGTGCTTGGTACCTACTATCGTAGTACTAATAGTAGATAAGTGGCTACCAATACGTTAATGTACAGGTCGCAGACACTTTATCTGATGTTGAAGTCGTGGTTGATGAATGAATAATAAGACAGTTGTTGTATATTGTGAATTTTATTATAACGTTCGATAATTTTTCTAAGTCCAAAATAATATTGTACAAAGTGACGTGAAGGTGCTTGCACTAATGGGTGGTAGTACACGTCTGAAAACAGGCCGATTCGGGCTCCCTTATATATGAGGTTCCCCGTACCCCTCGCCTATAGATACTGTATCAAGACTGTCACGGATGTAATTTTTGTGGTCATCGTTCCAGCCTACGCATTAACGATTGACGCATTACCAAAATATGATTATTATTAAAATATTCATTTTACTGTTTTGTATTTTTATTTCGTCGTATTCAGTGTTTCTGTAAATATTACATCCACCTATTCTTGAACCCTTCATCCTGAGCTATTCAGTGAGCCTGCCTCCTTAGGTTTGAAGGAGAAAACCCCAACCCATTTCCGTTCTTTATGTCCGACTATGCTGGTCTATTGTAAAATATAATAACTATGTACTCATGAAATTGGTATTGTTTCTGTAAAATGTTGTATACGCCTATTTTTGAACCCTAATTTTCTTATTACCTGGTTATGCCGACCTATTATATATTATAATGACTATACACTCGTGATTTATGATTTTGGTATTTGTTCCGTAGTAACTGGCTTACTACACTGCTATAAAGTCTTCAATGTCAAACATGTTTAGAAAAACGTTGAAATTATAGTATTTACTCACTTCAAAAATAATTTCGTAAATGGCAAATTTCAAAAACCGCCAGCGGATCGCGGCGATCAAATCGCCTGTGTGAACATGCCTATTGAAAAACCGTTGTTTATTTATAGCTGGCAGACGCGGTTTTCCGCTCAGGAATATTGACATGAGCGGTCGCAGGCGGTTTTGCATGCATGAATATAGCTGGTTACACACGGAGCGGTTTAGCCGCGCGCGGACGCGGTTTTTATCCGCGGCGGAAAACCGCCTATAATTGAACATGGGTTATTTAAATGGCATATTCATACGGGAAAAACCGCGCCGCTGATCGGCGCGGACGACCGCCTGCGACCGCTCATGTTTAATTTTTGGCGGACGACCGCGTCCGCCAACTATAATTAAACTATGGTTTTCCAATAGACCTGTTCATACAGGCGGTTTGACCGCCGCGATCCGTTGGCGGATCTTGAATTACCATCTATGAATTTAGTACTCATGAAATTATTTTTGAAGTGTTCATATACATTTATACTGAGCAGAAAATCTTTTAAATAATATACCTACGCTGTTATTACTTATTAGTAATTAGTATTAGGTAGCATTTTCTTTTTTGTTTAAAGTTTTAAACATGTTTGACACCGAAGATTTTATATCAATGATACAGTCAAATGAGTGTATCTGGAATAAACGTAAGTACTTATTTTGTATTTTTGTATTAGTTTTGCATATAAAATGTTCGCACTGTTTTTCCTGTAAAGGGATAGGTACTAGGAGTAAAAACTCAAACGGCATTATTATGAATATTTATAAAATATCTAAAAAGTATTTTTTTTTGATTCAATACCATTTTAATAATATTATGTTACATTTACTATTGGAAATGTAGAAGAAAGTAGTCATCACGATCTCCAGGCTCTTCATGTAGGATGGACAAACGTAGCTCGAGCATGTTTCATTAATTTCGACGAAATGGAAGATAAAATAAAAACAGAAAAAAGTAAGTGATATATACTTTTCTTTTATTAGAAATTTGAATATATGAAAACAAAATAATATTATAATAATAATAAGAAAATAAAAAAGTATGAATTAAGACATAAATACCAGTGTAATAATTAAACAATTATTAACATACATTATATATAACAATATCATAGAATTATAGATATTAAATGAATGAGGTACATTTTGTTTTGTGGAAGTTTTAAATATGATGGATACATTATATAATATACCAAAAAGTTCAAAGTCAATTAGTTTTACCTAATATAAACAAAGTTTTTGACCTCAAACAAATAAAATATGCATTAAAACCAATACCTGACCTGTATATTATGATGATTATAAAATTATGATTTTTTTTTTTTAATTTTTAAAGAAATGCATTTCAATTTTTAAACAATTACTTGCCAATTATTTTATTTTGCCAGTCAAGTGCATGGTTTGGGTTATTGACGTAATCTACAAAATACTCCCTGACGTCTTTGGCATTTTTTTGAGCGTTCACCACTCCTCTTCTTTCTATTATACTCTCCATCGAACAACTCGTGATATCTTCAACATTAGTGCCATCACGGCGACGTACAAAATTATGTAGCACACAAAAAGCTTTTGTTATCATAACTGCAGCATCCGGCTCAACCAACATAGTTGTTTGAAAAACCCGCCATTTTTTAGACATGATGCCAAAGGTACATTCGATATATTGACGGGCCCTTGATAAACGGTAATTAAAAATTCTCCTTTTATCGTTTAAGGTTCTACCTGGGAACGGTCGTAGTAGGTTTTTATGGAGAGCAAAAGCTTCATCGGCTACAAGAATAAATGGCTGTGGCGAACCGAGTCCATCGTTCGGTAAACATTGATCAGGTGGAAAGTTTATTTGATTTTCATAAAGTTTCCTACCAAACGTTGATGTTTTGAACACATTACAGTCACTTTCTTTACCAAATGATCCTACATCGATTATTCGGAAGCAATAATTTGAGTCACAAATAGCCATTAGAATCAATGAAAAAAAGTGTTTATAATTATAGTATAACGATCCACTACTTTTTGGGCACTCGATTCGTATATGTTTTCCATCTACCTGCAGAAAATATATCGAGCCATTATAAAACAACGATCTATAAATTATTACTAAATTGTTTCATAACTCCTTTCAATTTGTAATGTATATATACAATTTTATTGGTATACATTTATATTATTTTCCCATAATTATTAAAAATTAATAAATCTAAAAAGTATATATAAAGTAACTTACTGCACCGACGGTATTCGGGAACTGCGTTTTTTCAAAAAATCCTTTGGCTATATCCAACCAGTCATTTGTGGTCGGTTCTGCCATTTCTATTGGTTGTAAAATTTGCCAAAAAACTTTACAAGTTTCTCGGACTATCATGGCTATAGTTGACACCCCACACAAAAATTCAAAATGTAATGCGGAGAAGTGCTGGCCAGTTGCTAAGTATCTGATAACATTATATAAAATCAGAATATATGATTATTATTTTATTCATATCCTTTTATATTTTATCCAACCAATAAAAACTTCATTAGAAATAACTTTACTAATATAATAAATAATTAATTTTTTTAATGGAATGACGTACGATTTTTTTTTTAAATTATTGTCAGAAAAAGTATCGACAACCTAGTATTAAATTTTCAATTTTTATCTATGAATATTAATTGGACTGCAAATTTTAGATTCTGAGCGGACCGAATGTATTGATTTTACAATGATGTATTTTGTTTGTGTGTGTGTGTGTACCATCACGGTTTTGGGTACCTAGTAGAAGTGCTTCGATTTCCTTCAACAGTATCTTGTTCGATGGAAAAGCGAATATAGTATTGGTGCATTGGGGAGGACGCTTTTAAAATGCCCAATAGTTTTCAAAAGCGCAGGGAAAAATAAAATAAAAATTAAGGAAAAACGGTAATTTTTACGCAAAATCAGTTTTCGGACAAAATCGATTTTTGTTTTTGGTATAACTCTGAAAAAAATTACCGTATTTTCATGAAAGTTTCACTAATTATTATTATTTTCTGTACACAATAAAAATTTCAAAATATTTTGATTTGCTTTGAGCTGTTTACGGACATATTCAGTTTTCAATTCTTTTAGGTTTTATTTCTATGAATGCCAATAAAATTTTATTCTTTGGGAAAAAAAGTTTGAAAATTTAATACAAGGCTCCTAATATATTGTGAAATGACGTTTGAAAAATATTAAAAATCTATACTCAAAATTTTTTTTTATTATCATTTAAAGTTCAAATCTTGACAAAATACGTAAAAATCAAAATCACGAAAATTTGAAATTATTTTGAATTAGAAATCTTAAAAATTTTACTTTTAAATCTAAGACTGCCAAACTGTCTTCGCTCAGAATCGTTTTTCGTATACAATGATGTATTGGTAGGAGTGTAGGACATAAAATAATATTTTATGATAATGGAAAATCTAGTTTATTAAAAAAAAAATACTTTTGTAACAGAATCTGAAATATTGTATTATTTTTAGGTAAAAAAAAATAATTTTAAAACTGCTTTCAAATGTTTATATAAATTACACCTTACCTATAAATGATGTTCTTGTTTATTTTTAAAGACACTTCCCATATATTTAAATATAAAACATTTTGTGTTACATTTAATATAATTTATATTACAAACATGTTTTTTTTTTACTAGTAAAAGAGCTAAAATTAAAATGGAAAAATATACGAGATACTTTCAGAAAAAAGTGTATTAAAAAATCGGGGCAGGCTGCAAACAACGAAAAAAAATATGTATATGCAAATATTTTACAATTTTTAAGACCCACAATGGAAAACAGAAGGTATTAACTAATAAATCATATTTACATATTAACATTTAACAACAATTAACAGTTTGAAAAAAAACTTATAAGTATGTTATAATCCTCAGGACCGAAAGTAATGTTATCGAGAGTGAACCGGAAGAGGAAAACGAAGATGAATCAGAAATAGTGATGAATGTGGAAGATCCTGATGTCTGTGTAGTCGACTCGGAAGTAAAGACACCAAAATCTCTAAAACAAAAGTCTGTCAAAAGACCAAAAATGTCTTTTGAAGACAACTTATTACAAATGTTGAAAGGTAGAAAAGTTGAAGATCCAGTTTCTTCTTTTCTCATGTCGTTGGCGCCACAAATCAGAATGTTAAATCAAGAAAAACAAAATCAAATTTTTATTGAATTCTTGCAGACCATACAAAGAGTTTCTTCTACAAACCCTAACCAAAGTACATACATTCCCCCAACAGCTAATAATGTTGTGAACTGGCCCATACAACACCGCGCCTCAACTTTCTATGACCGTTCTTATAACACATATCCGACCGCAATAAACCATCATCCTAATCATCTCGACATAACACCAGCTTCATCCTCGTTAACTTCTTCAGGACTAGATCCTTACCAATTGGTATCTCCTGCGAGTGATGCCAACCCACATCAATACTATGATTGTCATACAAATTCGTCTCAAACAGTAACAGCTCCTGGTTCTCCATCGACAACACCCTTCAATTATTCAAGACTGAATAACACCAATAAATAAGAAAATACTAATTAGTATGTAAACTTTTGTATTTTGTATCATATTTTATTTTTAAACTTTTTATTTTTTGTAGGTATAACAGAACTTTTAAGTTGAGTTAACTTTTAATTTTTATCAATATTTAATATTGTTTTATTACATTTTAAAATGTAATGCATTTTTTAATAATATTATATGAACGAGGATGTTTAAAAGATTTAATTTAATTAAATTTATTTAAATTTGATTTTGATTTAATTTGATTTAATTAAATACATTGTTATGTGATAGATCCACTTAATCACTGTGTTCTATTTTTACATATTTACTATGATATCTACTTACCGCAAAGTGATTGTCAGTCGTTCTTCTGTACTGATTGGAATGCGCATATTTGTTACTTGTTTTGATAAACTTGGTCTTACCAGTAAAATCTAAAAAATAGAAATTATTTGACATAATATGGTTATACAAACGTAAAAATTTTTACGTTTGTAATTCGTATGTGCTTTCTGATTTTAAATATTTATTCGTTATTTATTTACTTACCAACTCATCAAACGATTCTATAGACATCCTGAAATACTTTAAAAATTCTTCAGGGTGAGCCCTCAGTGTCATGAAGTTCACTTGAAACTGACCTTCTTTAATTCGTTTAGTGTTCATCGGATGTACCCAATAGCGCCTTATGGATCTTTTCTTTTTTTCTGCATTATTGCGTTTATTTAAAGCATATGCTACTGCTATGGCTTCGACGTCGTCCAATAAGTCCATAATACGAGTATATGGGTAAGTAAGTATAATATATTATGTAAAACGTGAAAAACAAAATTCAAAGGTCTTACCTCGACAAAGTTTTTAACACGACTGATTAGTGATTATTAATTACTCTGACTCGCTCCAATATTCACTTTACTTTTTGTGAAATTTGACTATTATTAAGTATGACGGGAAGAAAAACCGCGTACGTGTGTAATCAAAACGGCGGACGCGGTTTTAAACCGCCGCGGATAAAAAACGCGTCGGCTCGCGGCCAAACCGCTCCATGTGTAAGCAAAACGGCGGACGCGGTTTTAAACCGCCGCGGATAAAAACCGCGTCCGCTCGCGGCCAAACCGCCCCGTGTGTAACCAGCTTATGCCAATTGAATAACCCATGTTTAAGGCTGGTGTCACACTTGCGGAATATCCGCAGCGGACGTTCCGCGGTGGAATTTCCGCACTTTATAGGCTGGTGACACACTTGCGTTTTTTTCGTAGCGGAATTAGCCGGAAAATTTAAACTTGAAACTACAGCTCAGTAGGTTTTTATACTTCAGTTTGATTTCATTTGTCATACAGAATAAACCGTTCGTCGTTTTCAAATAATATAATATGGAACTATTAGAACTTTTAGATGACGTCGAGTTAGTATGTGTCGCGCTTGCTGCTGACACAGTTGAGCGACACCGTGTTCATTGGGTCCACCCACTCAATGCTCAGAGAATAACTTTGGGTGAGTTCCACTGTTTATACTCTGACTTGAGACAATATCCGGATCGTTTTTTTAATTATTATCGTATGTCTATTAAATCATTTGACGAATTAGTAATTTTATTGAGACCACGTATATCCGAAACGAACTCCACTTTCAGAGAAACTATTGGCGTTGAAGAACGGCTGACAGTTACATTAAGGTAATATAATATTTTTTATTTAAAAAGGTGGGCAAGTGAATACTATTTTATTCCTATTTATAGACAAAAATGAAACTAAAAAATTGGTAATGTCCGTATAAACAGCTCAAAACCAGTCAAAATATTTTGAACATATTTTTATCTTTTTTATCGTAAATTTCATGAATCTATAGGTAGTTATTCTTTTTAAGAATTACAATAAAATAAGAAAATTGCTATATTTGGGACATCAAGTTGTAAAATTGACAATTGTTAAGTTCAAACGCTCATAAAAATTTAACTTGACTTTTTTGATAAAAATGGAAACATTTTTGAGGAATTTTGTTTATATTTTTAATCTTAAATTTAAAATGAAAATTTTTTATGAATTTTTAATTCAAGATAATTTTCATATTATCACGTATTATCATGATTTTTACTTATTTTGTCGAAATTCGAAATTGAAATGCTTATAAAAAAAAATGTATGACTATATATTTTTAATATTTTTCAAGTGCCATTGTTATGATATATTAGAAGCCTTATATTACATTTACGATCTTTACAATTCACCAAAACAAATTGTATTGACATTTTAAGAAAAAAAACCAAAATCGAATTTGCGTGAAAATTCTACTGATAGCTTTTAATTTTTACCTCTTGTAATATTTAAGTTGAAAATTGAAGCATTATCCCGACCACTTATCACGGTGTACACACAAAAAAATAACACATGCCAATTTTATTAGATAATATAAAACAACATTTTGTTTAATTATTTATTATTTTAAAATACGAATAAAAAAAAATTATAATTCCTTTTTTAGTGTTTTATCAAACAACATAAATATTTAAAACTTTAATATAATAAAAAAAAGGTAGGTAAACATTAATCACAGTTGTACTCAAAAGTCAACATCAATATAACTAGTTGATTGATTTGAAGCATCTGGTGGACTAGGAGAAAATAAGCAGTTAGGATCATGATTGGAAGAACTTGCAGGAGTTATGTTTTGAATGTTTTGATGTATATTCGGGACGGTGTTGGAAATGTAAGATGTTTGGTGATGCATAGGCATCTGATTTAGGAAACTACTTTGGAAGTTATTAGCTACATTGGTTTGAACAGGGTATGGGTATAACTGGTTCGTTGCATTATTATTTAAAGGTGCAGGATTAAAATTGTTTTGAAAATTAATGTTTTTCAGCATTTGCATAATCTGAATTTTGAAATCAAATTTCTTATCACTTGACATTTTTTTTAATGTTGGAAGAAGGGATAGTAAAAATAATTTATCCTCATCCAAATCTTCGTTTTCGTTGCTTATTTTCCTTTTAGCTAAAACTTCAACCACACTTTTCTGAAAATCCGTCATTTTTTGTTTTCGTGATGGTTGACTTGTAGTTGACTTTGGTAATACCTCATTTTCCAAAGGATCAGATTCGATTATTTCATTATCAATATTATGTTGAACATCTTGAAGGTTATCAATAATGCTTTCCTTTTCTATTACGTTGCTTATAGTACTGTTAAAAAAAATAAAATACAGTTAAATAAACTAATAACCGTAAAATACACTTAACAAAGATATTATATTTAGAGCTTTTATAACGAATCAAAAAATGTGGATATAGTGTATAGTATAAACTATAATAATACACTACACTTACAGACTACAGTGAAGTTATTTTTTAAACATGTATATATTGTATATGTGCTTACTTTTATTTTAAAATTCAATATAATATTTCTAAGTAAAAATATCTTCGAAAAATAACTCGAATAAAAATGTTTTTTACATTACTTACAATTTATAGATACGTATCCACTACATTGTCTACATTCTTAATTATAAAAATAAATTGATTTAAAAAAACAATGCATATAAATCCTAGCCCTAATATTAAAATATTGTAGTTGTATAATATTACAATACGGTATATTACCTTCTACGTTCAATAGTTTTATCCAAAAACCCAAGCATTTCAAAATAAACATATTTTTTTTTCTTTGCAGCAGCTGATCCAGAAGGAAGTTCTTTCTTTTCTTTTTTATAATAGTCTTTGACATTCTTCCACTTTTTTTGTAAATCATCAACTATATAAACAATAATATTATAATAGTATTGTGACATGGATTTGTATATACATATAAAAAAGCTTTTATAATAACGTATATAATAGATACAAATAAATTAATATAATTATAAGGAATCACATTGTTATTAAAGTACATACAAATTTTAACATTTACTAATGATAGGTAAAAATATTTTTTAAGGGGACTTGAAACTTTTATGTTCGTTATTATTAGCGCTTGGATTCAATGTATTTACAATATTTACATATTTTTTTGGAATGTCTTACGCGATGTTTTCCTATCTACAGATGTCAGATGTGTGTCGTACTTAAGTACTTAAGTACCTATGTTGTAACCACAAATATTTTTTGTGGAATTTTTGAGGTTTTTAATGCATTTTTAGAAAATGTTGACCTATTCCCCGTATTGTGACTAAAAAATTGACTTCATTGTAATATAATTATATAAACATAATACTACTACGTAATATAAATCATTTATATTTTAAACTATATAACATCAGGTAATCTGGTTTTAAATATTAGACAAGGGTGAAAAATATCTTTATGTTACACCAACCAATTAGCCAATTTCATTGCATGCAGTGTTTGATCAGAATTTTATCACTATTGATTTTACAATGTTTTTTTTTTGTGTCTGTCATCACCGTTTTCGGCAGTAAAATGAAATTTTCGATTATTATTAGTTTTTTTCGATTAATGTCGATAAAAAAATTTTTCCTCGGTAAAAAAACTTTAAAATGTAATACATAGTTTCAAATAAGTTGTTGTTAGTGGAAATTAAAAAAAAAAGTTAAGCTTAGATCAATAATAACTTTTTATAAGCATTTGAATTTCGATTTTTAACAAAATTTAAAATACGTAAAAATCACAGCAATTTGCAAATTATTTGAGCTAGGAATTCATAAAAATGTTTATTTTTAAACCTAAGATCTAAAAATTTAATACAAGACTTATAATAAGTTTATTTACCTTTATTAAAAAAAAAAAAGGTATATTAGAAAGTCAAATTACATTTTTATGAGCGTTGAAGTTCAAACTTTTACAACATTACATACATTTTCAATTTTCATTTTTTTTTGTTTTTTTTTCATAATTGTCAATAATATTTTATTTTCTGGGCCAAAAGTCTGAAAATTTAATAAAAGGTTCCTTGTATATTGAAAGAATAGCAGTTGAAAAATATTGAAAATGCATAGGCAGGATTTTTTTTATAAGCATTTAAAGTTTAAATTTTGACAAAATTTATCAAAATCTCGAAAATTATCAATCATTGTAATTAAAAAATTATAAAATGTTCAGTTTTTATAACTAAAGGTTGAAAATTTAGTACAAAGATTCTCATAAATAATTCATATTGTAACCAAAAACTCTAAAAAGTATATAAATAAATTTTTTTTTTACAGTTATTTTAAATTCAAATTTGGACGAAATTACATATTAAAACCAAGAATAACGATTTTAGTTTTTTTGTTATAATTAAAAAATATTATTTTTTGATATATGAAACTTTTAGAGTAGGTAAACCCTAATTATTATATTTTATACACACAATGAAATGTACAAACACAATATTTTGTCGAAAAAAATATTCAATTTACGAATAATAAAATAATTACTTTTATTAATAATATATTTTACTGTGATTTATTTAACTTATATGAATATTAAGAATGAATATTTATAATAATTTGATTTTTTTTTTTATAGATATTTAGTTACCGGATCTCGTTTTTCATCTTTACAGCATCAATTTAAAATAGGTAGAACTACTATCAGTCAAATAGTAAAAAATACATGTATTGAAATATGGAATGTTTTACAACCCATTGAAATGCCCACTCCAACAATCACTAAATGGATCGAAATATCAAAAGTGTTTTACGAAAAAACAAATTTCCCAAATTGTATTGGTGCAGTCGATGGGAAGCACATACGCATAATTTCTCCTCAACATAGTGGCTCAAACTATTTTTGCTATAAAAAGTTTTTTTCGATTGTCCTAATGGCAGTTGTTGATGCTAATTATTGTTTTACAATCGTGGATGTAGGATCTTATGGCCGCGAAGGAGATACAAACATTTTTAAACAATCTACTTTTGGAAAACAGCTCTACAACAATTCGTTAAAATTACCACCTCCGACCAACCTACCAAATACTAATGGCCCTGCATTACCCTATGTATTAATTGGAGATGAAGCTTTTGGAATTCATCAGCATTTATTAAGACCTTACTCAAGCCGTGATTTGAATTATTCCAAGCGAATTTTTAATTATAGACTTTGTAGAGCTAGAAGAAATGTTGAGTGCGCTTTTGGAATACTATGTAGAAAATTTGAAATTTTTTATGGGTGTATTGCAGTAGGACCTGATTTCGTAAGTATTATAGTTCAAGCAGCTACAGTTCTCCATAATTATATACGACGGAGAGACGGATTTGCGTTTGAAGACACTTTGAACTGTGATAACATGTTAGCTATTGAACCACGAGGATTGAGGAACTGCATCTAGAAGTTTAGTTGGACAACAAGTTAGAGACAAATTCGCCCAGTACTTCTTAAGTGAAGTTGGAAGTGTTCCGTGGCAAAATAACAGGATTTAATTATTTTTAAATCGGGAAGCATAATACTAATTACAAGTTAATACAATAAATAATTTAATAATATCATATCATTATTATATTATTTATAGTTAAAAGTTATTGTTATATATTATTATTTAGAGTAGATCCATAGTGGTATGGTGTTCAAAATTTGACTTATAAATTAAGTACTTATTCTATGTTCATAAATACTATATTCCATATATATTTAAAATTAAAATAATTTACTTACGTTTTTCTTTTTGTTCACTGATCTGTATATCTTCCCAATTGGAAAATATATTTTTGGCTATTTGATTCCATGTTTTTTTTTTTACTTCCC